TCATTAGTGATTATTAATCTCTTGCATAATATGTATATCATCATATTTTTCTGTGCTCTCTTCTCTCTTCCATATTTCACAGATTAATTGCATCATTAAAGCAAAAATTATGATTTAAACGTCTCTCATTAAGCTATCTTTTAACATTCTCCAATTTTGTATTAAATACAACACAGGAAGGTTAATATTTTTTTTAATTAAAGAGGCCCTAAATACACTTTAATAACTGCTGGCCTAAAGGTTGACAAATGACCCTAATTAAGAGAAAACAAAACAAATTAGAGTGCATGATATTTAGATAGATACATGTGCTTCCAGTGCACATCTACATGAACAGGTGTGCCTGCGCAGCATGCTCAGGTAGCTGATACATTACGGTTTTCTGCTCACATCTTTCTCTGGGAATTCAGTTGTCACTTATCAAAGTAAATCTAATTAAACACAGGCTTAAAACGTGCACCCTCTCCATTCTGCTGATCTTTTGTCCAATTTTCTATCAATAGTGTTGCTACTGATCCAGTGGTAATGCGTTGCCTCCTCTGCACTCACACACAATGCCAGGAGGTCTTTGCTTGATGTTCTATGTAGGACAAGTCGTAGTGTGTCTGAGGTAATAAATGAACAAGATGAATGTGGGGGATATGTTCATTTGAAAGCTCTTGTCACTGAGGGTTTGTCGTCCGGCTGCACAAAGGGTAGAACCTTCCTGCCTGATTTACTTTAGATTCAAACCATGGCTAAATTGGAAATCGTGAATCACTCTGACACCATTGGCATAAGATGGATTAGTTCAGTTAAAGGCTGCCTTTTCTTTACTTTGGATCTTTTTAAAGAAATCATACAAAAATTAATTTTTCTGACAGACGGCTGACCCGGGCAGCCAGTGAAAGGAATAGCAAAGAGAGGCCGGCACTGAGGCACTACAAAGCTGGTTTTATCAGCACGGCACTATCCCAACCACATCCAAAAGCTCTCAGCAGCACAATGAGCCTGGCTGAATATTTGATCAACTGTCTCAGGTTTAACAAGCCTTGCCAAACTACACCTGCCTGGAGGAAAAAGATATGCCTTTGAGCAGGGCAATGCCTCCCCCAAGATGTTAAGGAAATAAGCGTTTGATGTTCACAACAACCGAGCACTAAGCTCATCCATTCTTGAGCACTTGGATTCTCAGCAAGGTTCAAGATTTGCATTTACTGAACAATAGTTTTCTGAATGCCAACAATGTCTTCCATTGTAGCCTAGCCATAAATTACAAAACAATGCACTCAACGAGGAACTACTGTACCCGTAATGTTGCTTTTACAGCTTGGAGTCAGTAAAACACTGTATAACTTTGCTTCTTGCCAAGTGTCATACAACAGATGTTTCTTGCTTATGCCTCTGGAATCTCTCCCACAAATAAAATCAGAGATAATCCTCTTGTAAGAAAGTGTAAATTTATGTGCTTTTGCTATATCTCTGAATAAGCATGTGTGTGTACTCAGTCACATCGTGGGGACTGTTGGTGACAAAAAGCAGATGCCCAGTGTTAAAGTAGATGTACCTGTAAATAAGGTTATGGTGTGTCTGTGTGAAAAAGAATTAAAGTCAGCGTAATTATCTCTCTGTGTGTGTGTGTGTGTGTGTGTGTGTGTGTGTGTGTGTGTGTGTGTGTGTGTGTGTGTGTGTGTGTGTGTATGTTTCTGTACGTGTGTATCCCCAAACTTATAGTTGCTGGTTGCAGCTCATTGCCCTGCAGTAATATCAGGCCTTACAGACACCTGGGACCAGTGGTGTGGTCCCTCAGAAGAGGCTGCTGTCTGGCAACTGGCCCTGATTACTTTCTCCACTCTCTGGAACTCAACTCTGTGTATGCCATTAACAAGCTCCACGTGGTATGATCCCAACTCGACCATGCCATTAAACCTCTACACAAAAGCTAGTTTACAAACAGGCACACACACACACACACAAACTGCACAACTTAACCATCAGTCCACTGAAACCTCTACCACCTGCAGACCAACGTTTTCCATAACCTCTCCTTTGAGAGCAGAGCCTGCACAGCGGAAACTGTGAAGCAACGGTGACATCTAGTGGCCAAATTACTGTGTAAAACAAAAAGTTGTAGATTTGTTTTTGCTGCACTGCCCAAAGACCGAGTAGAATTATTTGACTGTTAGTTGCTTTCCCTTCCTTTCATAAACACGTTATATTTTTATTTCATTGCTTGTGTTATTCATATTTATCATTTGCGTGTACACAACTAGATGCTAAAAGTTTCATAGCTCAGTTAGGGACAAGCTTTTTCAGGATACTTTTTATTATCTTCTTGTGTTCAATTCTGCATGTTTACACTATTCAAATTATATAATTTATACAATCTAGTATTTTATTAATTTGCTTTTTAATAGTGCATTTAATAACCTGTAAATAACTAATGTAAAGTGTAACATTCTACTGTTCAAGTCTACACGTTTACATATGTCAAAAACACAGAAGTATTCATAGACATATGTGTGCATATATGAATAAGCATATGTATGTAGATATGTGTGCGTGCATATAAAGAGTTCTGTGAATAAGTATTTGCCCCCTTCCTGATTTTGTTTCAGTTTCATTGACCACACTGCTAGACCTGCTGAATCAAGAAATCGCTTAAACAGAATCTGTCTGACACAGTGAATTAAACTAAAAGATGTCTGCATGCAACAAGTCATGACATCATATAAAGAAACTCAGAAAGAACAGAGGAATAAAGTCAGTGACATTTATCAGTCTGGAAAGGGTTACAAAGCCATACAAAGGCTTTGGACCCCATAAAACCATGATGAGAGTCGTTATCCACAAATGGAGAAAACTTGGGACAGTAGTGAAGCTCCACGTGCGTATGCTGGTCACTTCCCAGGAGTTACCAGTATACCAAAATTACTCCAAGAGTAATTTAAGACTCATCCAGGAGCTCACAGAGCCAGAACAACATCTAATAAACTTCAGGCCACACTGAGAAGGAGACTGAGCAAAAAATAGTTTCACATTTGCCAAAAAAAACCCCTCCAAAACATCTTGATGATCCCCATGACTTTTGGGAAAATATTTTGTAGATTGATGAGACAAAGGTTGAACTTTTGTCTCATCATGGCCTTCCAATTGGGGTCTGGGATGCGGGGCGTCCCTGCTACTGCGAGGCCGGGGGCAGTCTGCTTGTCTTCAGCCCAGGGAAAAGGGTGGCATCTCCTGGGTCTGGTTTCTCCTCAGGTCCAGGTGGTGCCTGGACCTGGGAGTTAGAGTATGTCCGCGGGCACATCACTGCAGCCCCCTCTGGCTTCTGCTCCGTGGCTGCTGGGTGACCCGTCGTCTGGGGCTCTCCTCAGCTCCTCCCAGGAGGGTGGCCCAGTTGCCCCTCCGATGGTCCTTCTTGGGCTCTCACACTCTGGGGCCTCTGGATGTCTGGGGCCTGGATCTCCTCCATGCCTGTGCCCTGGGGAACGGGGCTATGGCTCCCCACATCCTCTAGCAGATTGTTACATGGAGAAACCTTTTGAATACAAGCGTGCTCATGCTCACAGGTGTACACACGGGTGTTCACAGACACAAACTACACCTTTCTTGGCTGCAAAGGACATTGTGCGCTATCGATCTTGCGTGCTGCGCAATAACATTCAATATTTAGTATCTACTGTTATTTACTGTTAGCTAGATTATTGCGATTGTGTTGTGTTTATTATGTTGCTCTCTTTTTTGCTTCTTTTCTCTTCTGTTTTTTCTTCTCTCAACGGGTGATCCAGGTGATTTTTTAAGTGCCTTTTCTTACTGTCCCTCTTCCCCTCTGTTTTTCTTTCTTACTTTCTTTCTTTCTTTCTATCTCCCTTTCCTATCCCCCAGTCATGTCTGTCCGATCTGTAACAATTGAAAATAAAATAAAATAAATACATAACAATAATAAAGGTCAATCAAATGGACAAATATGGCAAGGCCATGATGATCCACTTGGTAAAGTAAATCCGTTGGGCATCTTTCGTGGCCTTCAGACAATAATTCTGATGGCTAAAGAACCAAATGGGATAGGCAACAAAAAAAAAGTTGCATTTTTTGGAAGGCTTGAGTCCTGTTACGTCTGGTAACTAACACAGCATTTCATGAACAGAGCATCATGGCAATAGTCAAATATAGTAGTAGTGGTAGGCTGCTTTTCTGCTTCAGGACCTGAATGACTTGCTGTAATTGATGGAACCATGAACTCTGCCTACTAGAAACTGCTGAAGGAAAATGTCCTGGGTTTGGGTTTTAAAGGATAATGAGCCAAAACACACAGAGTCCACCTCTAAATAGCTCAAAAAACAAAATGTAGGTTTTGGAGTGATCTAGTCAAATTTAGGGGTTATATCTGACTGAGATGCTCTGGCATGACCTTAAACTGAACATTCATTCTGGAAAATCCTCTAGTGTGAAGAAAAAAAATCAGTGATTTGAGCACATTACGTTTAGGGTCGATTGCTTTTTTTCCACATGTTCAACTGTAATTTCGTCATGCTTGCATAATGACAATATAGAGTATTTAATCTTGACTCCCAATACTATTCCGGGACCACGAGGGGGCGCCGTGTCCTATTTATTTAATTTGTCCTATCAACAATCATCCCATTGCCTACAACCATTAAAAAACGTATATATGGATCATGACAATATATTTCTGTTTTGTAATTTAAAAAAAAAAAAAACTATGGCGAGACATTGCTTCTGTACAATATTAAACTATTAAAAATACACACGCATATATTGAATAAAGTGAATAACCATATAAACGTAAAATACTCAGAAAAAAAGGAAATTAACTAAAATGTGGAGACAAAATATTTCATAGATCAGTTTTACCTGTAATCACAGTTTCATAACATATAATCGTACTGACTTTGGTTTGGTGTCATTTTCCGATTTTGGCTCTAGACTGACTGGAAAAACAAATAAGCTCTATTTTTAGACGATATACAGTAAGAGTGCTGTGAGGTCGGGCTTATTGCGCATTGCCTAAAGGGGACACAGCAACTAGAAACGTGAGCTATTTGATACTCTTTGTGATATTTCAGACTTTCTTTCTTCTTGCTGCTGACAAATGGAAAAAAGAAAAAAAAACTTGAATACTACAGTGAGTGAGTGACAGCCAGCGGAAACAGGCACACCTTATCGTATCTCTCTTATATTCAAATGTTTTCATGGCTGTGCATGCATGCGCCTGGAGGAAGAGGAGAAGAAATCATTTCCAAGAGGGCGGTGCTACTGTATGAAGTAGGAACAGCGTCAAAGTTAAGAGTGCTTCCAAACATTAACTCGAACTTTAAGTGGCCTCTGCTGTTAAATAGAACAGAAGGAAACCGAGCAGGTAAGACGACGGCTCGCCTCTGCCGTGAGATTTGTTGACTGTAATGTGATCTGTCGATCGGGCTTAGCGGGGGAAATGTCCCGTTAGTAGCACGGCTAACTGAGCTCTTACCTGTGCCAGGTAAAGTCGGCGTATACAGTACAGGTAGAGGTACACTTTTCTGCCTTGTTTGTTTATTTGTGTGTAACATGGGCTATCGAAGAGTAGCCTACGTTACACAGAGCAGGGCAGGACTACTTTCTGATCTGCTGACTTGCGTAAAAAGAAAATGAGTAAGCGATCTAACTTTACAGTAGGATATGTTGCAACAGGCCTCTTACAGCCTGTAAGAACTAACTTGACACGTCTATCAAGAAGATATTAAAAATAAAAGTAATATTACTTGCTTAAAGTGCTTAATCTGGAAGCTGTCACCGTAATTTGCTATATGCAGCTGGAGACTGTCCATTGGGCGTCAGATATGTCTTGTTTCTTTGTTTCTTTTTTTACACTATAGTTCAAAAGACTACGAGAAGAGAGGAAGGAAGCGCATTTTCAATTAAAGCAGCAGGGTGTGCCAAAATATTGGCGTTATCCTTAAGAAATGACAGGTTGAAGAAGATTAATTCAGTTGAACTTGTCTAAATGTTTAATCCATTAATCACCATACTCCACTACTTTAGTAGCCTGTATAAATCTTTAACGATTACTTAATCTCACAAGGCGAAGTTGGTGGAATTGGTTTTGAGGTGTCAGTTCAGGGCTAAAAATCTTGTTGGGACACCAGAGTTTTTATAAACTTCAAATATGTAAGGCTGAATTTTGTTGAAGCATACATAAAACAAATTACAGAATATTGAGGTATGTAATGGCCACTGAAATGTGTATTATCATGTTTTATTTTACTCTTTGTAAAATTTCAGACTATATGAGCTACAACTCCTTTAGTAACTAATGGAATATCATATTTTTTTTAACCCAGGCCAAGTTGATGTAATTCACCTTCTATGCTCCTGAAAAAAAGAGGCTCAGATGCTTCAGGATGGACGAGGCTCTTCCCAGCCTGAGCTCAGTTTCAGACTCTCTGGAAGCAGACAGTGAGGAGTTCCAGCTCAGAGTGGACTTCTTCAGGAAGTTGGGTTACACCCCATCAGAGGTCATGGCTGCTTTGAGGAAACAGGGCTTAAGCACAGACACTAATGCGGTGCTAGGAGAGCTCGTTAGGAACAGAACCAGCAGTGTACCTTGCATTTCCAGCTCTGACAGTGACGAGAGGAGCACACGCCAAAACGACTCCCTGCAGCCTCCCAGTTGGGGTCTTGGGTCCTGCAAAAACACAACGCAGCTGTGGGACCAAAACAAACCGGACGAAGAATTGAGGCCTGTTGTTATTGACGGCAGCAATGTTGCCATGAGGTAATCCTGATGATACTTCCTGCTCTGTAGATTATCAGATTAAATCATAATCCATGAATGTCACAGCTGCTATGAACACTTTCTGAATAAGGACAGTTATTTTTCAAAGTCTTATTTAACTCTCTATTTTCCTACTATGTCGTGTGAGTTGACTTTTTAAAGGAGGTGTTGACTGCACTGCCCGTGCATGTTTTAGCATGGACCGCTGAGACATTATGCAAATTCTAGATCCTCTACTCAGAATCCCCACCTTTTACCAGAAATTATGTGCAATATGTGACTTTAGGACTGGGTAATAGCCAGAGGGAAGATTCCTTTTAAGCAGCATTTGAAGACGTGGTGTTTACTCAGATCAGTGTAATTTGTTAAGCCTCCTTTTGACTATGAATTAGATTAGATTATTTTCGGTCAGATTAACTGAACCCATGTTATCTCTTATGCTTCTTTTTTTTTTTCACAGTCATGGCAACAAGGAAGTATTCTCATGCCAAGGGATTCAGCTGGCGGTGAACTTCTTCCTTGACAGAGGTCATACTAGCATTACTGTGTTCGTTCCCAGCTGGCGCAAAGAGCTGCCCAGAGCTGATGCTCCCCTGACAGGTGAGGATGGCAGAAATAAAGCAAAGCAGACAGATGTTTCTCATCAAGTAGACGGGACAAATTTCAGCCTAACATCCCTGTGAGGCGAAGTTAAATGAGGTTAATACTGGTGACACAAAAAGCAGTTTTCACACGGGGTGTGAATGACAAATAAGGTTTGATTCAAACAGAAATGAATCTGATATTATTTTCATGCTGGATGTTAGCACGACCATAAAGATGGAATTAGACCCTTAAGACTCACTAATTGCTGGAGGGGAAAAAACAAATGTGATGTGTGCATTGCTGACAAAATATTTTGATGTGCTTGTGTTCTCTTTGAGTCCAGGCCAATAAAGAACAGGTTTTGTATGTGTAAAAAGGCGTCCATTGTAAGCTGTCAATGAAAGAAATTCTTAGAATTGAAAATTCGTTGACTGCTTTTAGCAGTCAGTCTGGTTCTACCATCTGCTAATTTTCTCATTATTGGTTAGTTTAATGTTAGAGAAGACTAAAAGTTTATATTTTAGTCTCCTGGCAGCAGGCAAGACCAGTGAATCCAGGAGACTGAGAACCACACCTTCTGAACTGTCAGATAAGACAAAAGATACAAAAAATTCCCCTCCGGGCTCAGTGTGTGGCACATGCAATGGTTACAACATAAGCTGATCACTTCTGTTAAAGTGCCGACTATGTTAGCCTCTTAAAGTTTCAGTTTCTGTACAATGAGATAATATCTGCAGGGCATATCCTGCCGTAACCACACTGTAATCAGAATGTTTACCCATAGATTTAGAACAAAAAGTAGCTAAAATGGATATAAATCACTAAAGATGTTCTTAAATGGTAGCCTGATTGTTTTACTCAGAAGGTAACAAATTCTTACTGATAAGGAACTGAAACAAATGAAATAAGCCCACACAACTATTGTAACAGAGAGGTTGCCATTTATTCTAGTTTTTGCGTACAAGTCGTGCTAAGATGATATTTTTTTTCTTCCCCCACTCACGCTTTTTTCTTTGTTAATACAGAAACAAATACTGTATTATACAGTGAGTTTTAGAGGTGATTTTTTTTAAGCAAGAAATGAAAAACTTAGAAATTCTATCACATAATTCTGTATTCATGAATAATTCCCACATGAGCCAGGAGATATTACAGAAAAACTAATACATCTATGCAAAAAAAGTTAAGGTTGTGAAACAGGGTATTATTTAGTTGGCCAGCATAAAATATTTCCATACCAGGCCATGGCAAGAAAAAGTGGAAATACACTTAAATGAGTCACTCTGACTGTTTTTGGGTGGTTACAATATTGTAATCACAGACAGTCGTGTATAATAGAGTTCTAAATTTATCCCAACTGATTCACTTATGTCCGTGTATTTATAAAGCCCAGATGAATATAATGTCAGTGTATCTTTGTGTAAATATTACCACCTGCAGCACAACAACTAAATAAAAAGGATGGCACATCCTGGAGCATAAGCCCCTTGTTGCTCTCAAGAATTAATAGCTGTGCAGCCTGGGTGGAGCAATCCAAAGGTTCTTTTTTTCAATCTTTGAACAAGGAAGTAAAAATCACCATGTAGTTACTCGTGGGAAAGTCCCATCGGGAAGTAGAGATGGGGATTTTTTTTGTTTTTGTTTTTTTTTTGTGTGTGTTTTTTTTTCCACACCTACCGTACTTGATGTTGTAGTTAACTACTGGTATCTATTTACAGTAAGTTGTTAAGTTTTGACAGAAGTTAGAAAAGTGCTTTTCTATCACATAAGGTTTTCTATCTTTTGTTCATCACACAGAGTTCAAGGTTCATTTCACTTACCCTTAACTTGTTTTGAAGCACTATCAATGTGTGTGTGTGTGTGTGTGTGTGTGTGTGTGTGTGTGTCTTTGTCGTGCATTTATTCACTCAGCTTGCACATAGCATGATCTAGAGTAATCTTAAGCTACCCCTCATTTCCTTATGTTCTAATTCCAAAAAATTTGTGGTCTTGAGCAATCATTCTCCAAGGTTTATGAAGGTTTTTCAAAGTTTTACTCTAGAAATTTTCTGCTAAAGCACGCAAAGTAGTCGTCGTGTCTTTAAGAAATAGGAAAAAACCCAGATCTGACACAGGCCCAGAGAGATGCATCTACTGTTCACTGAAGCCTCGTCAGAAATGGTTTCAATGATATGGTGGCTGTCAAAAACCATTCTTAAGGAAATGAAACGGGGAGAAAAGGCTGAGGTATGCCAAAATACACAATACCTGGACTGAAAATCAGTGGCAACAGGTCTTATGGAGTGATGAATCTTGTTAGAATTTTTGGTTCTGTTCAGAAGAGATCAGGAGAAAGGTACAACAGTACATGTCTGCAGCCATCTGTAAAACATGGTGCAGGCTCTGTCATGGCTTTGGCCTGCATTTCATCCAGTGCTTTGTGGAAGTATGAACATAGAAAAGTGCTGTCAGAATCTTGATCAACCATGCAATAGCATCCCAGAGGTGTCTGATTGGCAGCAGCTTCATGTTTCAGCACGACAGTGATTCATAACACATTACCAAGTTTGCAAAGAAATACCTGGATAGAAAAGAAAAAAATAGAATGACCTCCCTAGGCCTAGAAATTCAATTCAATTTTAGTTTTATTTATATAGTGCCAAATTACAACAACAATTGTCTCAAGGCACTGAAATCAGCATTATGGAAGGAGTGTGGGATGCTCTTCACAGAGAAGGGAACAAAAGGCTGCCAACATCCAATAAAGAGCTTACTGGATGTTGGCAGCTTTTAAAAAGCCTGGAGAACTATTCCTGAAGACTACATAAAGAAATGACAAGAAAGCTTGCCTGAGAGAGTTGAAGCTCTTTCAAAGAATAAAGGCAAATATTAACTTTCAACCTTGTTAAAATTGTACAAACTTTGTTTTCACCTTGTGGTTTGGCATGCATCTTTCAATAAATCCACATCTTTTTAATGTGTCACAGTACAGTTGAATACACGAAATCATTTAATACAGCGTAAATTGTCAACTCTGGATCTGTAACTGATTACTGGTTGCACTTTCAGATCAACACATTCTGCTGGAGCTTGAAAAAAGGAAAATCGTTGTCTTTACTCCATCACGCCGTGTTGGGGGCAAGCGAGTGGTTTGCTATGATGACCGCTTTATTATCAAATTGGCGTATGAGTCCGACGGAATAATCGTATCCAATGACACCTACCGAGACCTCCAAGCAGAAAGACCTGAGTGGAAGAAATGCATTGAAGAGAGGCTGCTCATGTACTCCTTTGTGAATGACAAGTAAGCCTGTTCTTCTGTATGTGCCTGTGAAATACCACATTTTCCTTCGTGGTGAATTTTCCAGAAAAAGAATTTGCAGCTTACAGCAGAGTTGTGGGGAGACCGGGGATAGTTGTAACGTGGGTCAGTTGTAACACTTCCAATTTCTCCAATCAGGGCTAAGTTTCAAATGATGTGACTCATCCTGTGCACGCCCAATTCAGTTCTGCTATCACATGTGAAAAATCAGCACATTTTGTCAAACACTGACAATTTAACATGAAAAAAAGTAATTTGTATGCCAAAAAGTAAGTTTTTCTACTTTATTTCAATTACTAATAGCATTATCTGCTTTGCAGTTAAACTCATCAAACTTAAATTATGTTATTTGTATGTCTATGGGGATATATTCTGTGTAGGTCTTTAGTGCTAATGTTTTAGCCGTTGGCTGTAATGTTAGCTAGTTCATGGCTATAGGAGTCTGGGTCAGTTGTAACAGCAACAGTCTGGGTTAGTTGTAACAATAATGCAGATGTTACAACTTACCACACTATTACTTTAACTTATATTAAACAAGTTGGGGCAACGACATCAGCAGAGAGAGATTCACTGGTCACATTTATATATGTGGTTAATGCCATTGGCAACACAATTCCTCCACTGTTTGTGTTCCCACACATACATTATGCAGACCACTGTGTCAGAGATGGACCAGTAGGAAGTATTGGTAGTGGAAATAAGTCAGGATGGGTGCAAGAAACAGATTTCCTCATCTTTCTGAAGCACTTTGCAAACCACACCAAGGTAAGCCATGATAAAAAGTAATGGAATTGCGATGCTGGTGAACAACTACATTTTTTCAGCTTCATTGTTATGTTCAAAATTGGTGCAAGAGTTGTAGGTTATAATGCCCACTGAGCCAATGAGGCCAAACTCAAGGAAGACCAACCAAAATTAATGAAATATTCAGTTGCAGAAAATTCCAGAATTTGTCTTTTTGGGGGGTTGGAATATGTTCAAAAGTTAGATTTCTGCATTCTGTCACACACACACACAGCTACATAAATGGCTCTAACTGCATTCATGTGTTGAATAAACAAAGATTACATGTTAATATTTTGTTAGTACCCTTATTTCATTGTGTTACATTTCACCCAGGGATATGTTACAACTAACCCAGACTATGGGGTTAATTGTAACATTTCACTCTTTGTGTTTGAGACCATACCATGCAATGGGTAATTGTGCTGCAGAGAAAATAGCTGCACTATTTAATAGCAGAGACATGTAAATACTTTGCATTACATTTTGAATCCACTACCTTAAAAGAACTCCAATTTACAGACAGAAATGTCAAAAATGTTACAACTATCCCCGGTCTCCCCTACAAGTGGATGAAGAACTCTACAATTTTTGTATTTTTCTACAGGTTCATGCCCCCAGATGACCCTTTGGGTCGCCACGGCCCCAGCCTTGACAATTTCCTTCGGAAAAAGCCTCGTCCTACGGAGCAAATGAGACAACTCTGTCCATACGGTAGGTACGATTAGCATATCGATCAGGAAGTGTTACCCTCTTCTGCAGCAGAGAATGTGCTGTCCACATTAGATCTCATCAACAAAAAATCTTTTTGCTTAGGGCTGCTCAATTAATCGAATTTTAATCACGATTACGATCTGGGCTTTCAACGATCATTAAAAACGACTGAGCCGATTATTAGCCCCTCCCTCGTGCTTTACTCTCGCGCTGCTCCGTGTGGCAAATCGAGCGCACCTCTCTGCATTTCGAACACGCATCACAACAATTAAGAGGACCCGAAGGAAGCTCGGAAAGCTAAGCAGAAGTTATTTGGAGAGGAGAGTGACTGCCGTTGGTTGAAAAGAGAGGTAAAAAAAAAAAAACTTCAGTGGTGTGGAAACATTATGGGTTCGTGGAGTCAGACGTGGATCAAGTAGACATAGTGTGTAAACTTTGCTATGGTGTCATAGCTGCACCACAGAGCAACACTACAAAGTTCACTAAACATAGATGTTTACATTTTTCATTTATTTTTTATATTGCAAACATTTGCACTGTTATCAGTATTTGCACACTATTTTATATTATTTTTTAAAGTCATTATTCAATACATTGTTATTGTTAACCCTTTAAATCCCTGTAGAACTTGAACCGTGTAAGCTAGCGCAATAATTTGTTTTGCATATGAAACCGGAGGAGTTGTACTTACATCTTATGCCATCAGCTTGTCCTCGGTCCCGGTTTCCTTCCACATAAAGCTTTGCAAAAATTGCATAAAAAGCGCTTGCAGGAACAAAAACATAATATTCCAGAAACACTCTTTGCTGATCCGATCAGCTGTTCGTAACACTTCCCACAGTGAAACAGACTGTCGCATGTTCGCCATTTCCTGTCCGAAACCGGAAGTGACGTCATTTTCGTGGAAAATGTAGTTTTTTACTTGTAGGCCTTAAAAGCCTATACTGGTGCTTTTATAAGTCATGTTTGACTTTTCTGAATAGTTTCTGGGATGCTTAGAACTCAAATTGCACTGCTGGAAATAGTTTATTTTGATGCACATGCTGTTTTCTTTGCAAATTTGCATCATAGGATTGTTTTTTGTTTTTCCTGCAGTATATAAAAATTGCTGTATCTCCAAAATAAAACTATGAAGAAACTCAAAATAAATTTCCTGTTGTTGTAAACTATTTTTTTGCAACTTTTTTGTATTTAAAGTTTTGAGGGATAAGCCTCTTAAATTTCCCCAAGTAGAAATATATATGTAAAAAAAAACAAAAACGATTTTCAATTTTTTTGTAGTTTATTGCACTTTTTTGCAATTAATGTAATTACTATGGACTTAATGCATACATATTATTAAAATATGGGCTATAACAGTTGTATTGATGTATAGCAACTTGAAATGCTCCCAAAAATGGCACTACAGCATATAAAAAAATAATATAAGCTCTGGCGGACTTGGTTCTATGGTAGGTCTTAAAGGGTTAAATAAATATCGTCAAATAATCGAGATCTCAATTTCAGTGAAAATAATCGTGATTATCATTTTTGCCATAATCGAGCAGCCCTATTTTTGCTTATGTGTCTTATTTTTCTCCATCACAGAAAAAAAGTGCACGTATGGCATAAAGTGTAAGTTCTACCATCCTGAGCGGGTAAACCAACCCTATCTGTCTTTAGCTGATGAACTGAGAGAGAAAGCCCAGATTTCTACTGTAAAAGAAGAGAGAAATGCCAGTTTGTCACCCAGACAGCTTCAGTCTGATCCCGCACTTGCTCAAAATGCCTATTTTCATCCTCGAGACTCCAACAAAGAGCTCAAAAGAGATCAGCAGACTTCCTCACCACCTTATCACGTTAGTGAAAACAAGCTGCTGTACTGGGAGGATCCTAGACACAATCCAAATCACATGCCGTGTTCTGTAACAGGAACCCAGTGTCAGAAAGAGTGGCCTGGGTTGCACTTGATGCCAAATCATTACTATGCCAACATGTCTCAAGAGTACCTGGATTCAGGCCTTGGCTCATTTGAGAGTCAGTACTCTGATATTTCGCATTCCCTCCACAACTCAAAGATGCTCAGGCTGCAGTATCAGAGTGCTCCTCCTGGAGCCACAAATTCTCCCGTACATTTAGAGAAAAATAACATCAATCAACCTTGCAAGTGCTGTTCTCATGCAATGCCCTCGACAGTTCACCAGCAATTTCATGGAAACATGGACTCTCAGGCACAACCCCAATACAGCGCCTATCACCCAAATGCCCTCACACCCACTGCTTCCCACCAGCGCAGCCTCCCCAGCCATTTCCAGTACAGTGGAGGCACCCATGTTCAGCAACATTACTGGTCAGATCCCTTTCAGGGGTTACCACAAGCCAGCAGACCAAATAGCCTCCCTTCTTCAACTCGTTCTTCACACTACCACAATTCTTGCTGCTCTAGCAACAGTCATCAGTACTATTCAAGGGGACAACAACCATCTTCTGCTGCATTTGACTCACAAAGGTTAGAACTCCGCAACAAGCTCAAAACTATCTTCAACCCACATCTGGTGGATACTGTCATGGAAATGTTTCCAAATCTGATGAATGCTGAGAAACTAGCTGCAGAGATACTGAAGCTGAAAGCCCAAAGAGATCTTTTCTGATTATTCTTCTTTCAGACCTGTCATTACTACTTGCCTTGACCTCAATATAGCATCCTTATCACCTTTTCAGAAGGTCGCATAGTGCCTATAGCTGAGTCATTTAAAAACTAATTCTGTGCAATGTGCTATTATACTGTAAAAATGAAACGTTTTATTTATGAATGATTTAGTTAATCTGTTATAGGTTATATATTTTTTTTTTATGACACTGGAGTCATATGTCTTTGTCATCCATGTTTTGGATAAAAAGTGCCTCTAGATGGAAAACGGTTACATTTATGCATATTGCTTCAAAGTTAATTAGTTTTAAGTTCTCATGAAATAACCTGTTGCTGTACTATGTGCTACTTTTAATCTTAGTTTTTCAGAAACAGCCTGCAGACAAGTATTATCCTTTCAAGGGACAGTTGCAGTATACTAAAAAACACTGGCAGTCAGTCCAGAAAAGTACCCAGGCTTCCAAATATTATTGAAAGCAAAGTAGCTGAGATACCACAATAAAAGAAAAATGAAACGCTAATTATGTAGGTGAGCTATAAAAACCTTTATGAACTATGGATACAGCCACCATGACATAACCAACTGGTTTGGGAAGTCCCCTTTTTGAGAGCATTTTTGCTGTTGCTATCTTGTTTTTGTTTTTGTTTTTTAAACAAACATGACAAGTGAGGACGGAGAAAATGAGGACACCAAACGCTCATGCAATGGTAACTTGTCACACAAGTTACACAGAAGGTATTTTCAGCTGCTTTCTTATCACCACAGTAGATAGATCTGCATGTTTGACCTTCCTGATGTAACCAGTACTAGGAGTGCATTTACCCTGTGAGATTGGCTTTATGTCTCCTCTCCATCTCAGGCCAGAGAGCTTTTACATGTAAGGGTAACATGTTACCCTCAGAGCTACATCCTGCTCATCTACTTCACTGTAAAGACAACACCACAAAAAGACAGCTAAATAGAACTCCTGCATGCTGTCTCTGTCATTGCTCGTATGTTTAATAAATGTTTGCATCTATCCAACCTTCAGCATTTTGGAAATTACATCTTAAATGTGCAGGCTTAAGGTAGTCTTTGATCTAAAGAGGCATTGAGTCATCCACTTTACACCTCTGTCTGAGGTTTCCAAAATAAAGTTAATTGTTGAATTCGTTATCTGAATTTTTTCTATTGTGACTTTTGAGTTTTTGCATTAGAAAAGGCAACTGATGATGTCCTGCTGCATTTTTAAATTGTTTTTATTGGTCGGGAATTTTGTTTCTCCTTTATTAACCAGCTCAAACTTTAAACTTTCAAGAGTATTTCATCTGATATATCAATAATTTTGAAGTGTTCTTACCTGTCAGCATTTTGTTTCTGTCCTGATAAGATCTGGCATGAGAAAACCTGTAGTAGGTTACGTCACAGAGGGCATGTGTAAAGTCAGTAGTTTGATTTACGGCATACGCCTCTCCAAAGAGCGACTCTGTTGCTTTTAGTTCCCCACTTCTGAAATACCTTTGGTGTCCTTGCTCTGTGAGCTTCATAAGTAAATATAAAAGTCATGTAGTCCACAAAGATAAGCTAACATTGCATGTTTTTGCCATACAGTGTAAATGCTGATCTTGCTAGGAAATTGAAACTGAACTTAAAAAAAGGCTTTGACCCAAGCAAAAGGAACTTGCTGATGTGTCATCATCATTTGTTCTGTAAACCTGAATCAGCTTCATGAATCATTCTCTGAATAACTGTCCCGATTAGTGTGTGTAGGAGAGACTACAGTATAACGTATAAAAATGACAGTTATGGAATTTAGTTCTCATAAATGATTTGTATTCTCTATTCTTATATTGGATCATTAACTTCAAATGTTTAGTGTTAGAACTCATTGTAAGAATATTTAGGAAATGCATTGTCACTACCTATTAAAGTCTATTGTAATAATAATATGTGTGAAGTCTATTACAACACAAATGGACGGGGATTAGCACTGTTGCGTGGCGAGCCAGCCAGTGGTTTAAATCCAGTTTCATGTTTCCCCATACCTGTGTGGGCTCTCTCTGGCTTCCTCCCACAGTCCAAAGACATGCATGTTGGTTTAATTGGTGATTCTAAATTGGCTATTGGTGTGAATGTAAGTGTGATTGGCTGTCTTTGCTGTCCACAGCTACCACTTTACACCCAATGAAAGACAGGATACGCTACAGCTCAACGGCGTTCACGAAATGGATTTGCAAAAGAAAATAAACAGCTGGTATGGGGTTAGTGGATTAATCCCAAACTAGTTCTTCAGGTTTATTTAATTCACTTGTAAATATCCCTCTGATGTTAATCAGAGACCAAACAACAGTGATCCTGATTGCCTCACAGATAGAATTGCTGCCAAACTGTCCTACTCAGTTTCACAAGAAACAGCGCAGCTCGTGTTGCAAGCCTGGACGAGAAACTGTTTTTTTCCCCCCAGTGACTGAGGGAAAGGTGGGTGTGTGTGTGTGTGTGTGTGTGTGTGTGTGTGTGTGTGTGTGTGTGTGGTGTGTGTGTGTGTGTGTGTGTGTGTGTGTGTGTGTGTGTGAGAGAGAGAGAGCATGCTAAATGCCTTTTTTGCCACTTGAACGATGCAGACATGATTTAAAACTAACTTATATTTAAAAACAAATGTTAAATGCAATCACGCTTGTGTATAATAATAGGAAAGAAAGTAGATAACTAAGATCTTGCACTTCATGCATCACCAGTCCCTGCAGATGTAATTTGTCTCACTGGGAAAAGGCCTCATATCCGTACTGATGGTGGTACAAGGTGAGAGTTGTTTTTATATTAAGAGTCAACTTTTCCATTTGTCTCTATATTGTCCAGGTTGCAGGGACAGATCGTTTAGCTTAACTTCAAAGTCTATATGGAGCTTATTGGTTTCTCCAATGTAGCGCTCACCTTAACTAGTTTTACATGCTAATAAGGTAATTGTGAACTAATTAATTAAACAAAATGCTGCTGTTTTAAAGCAGCATGAACACTAGATTTATGTTAAAATAAAGGGAATCATCATTATGCTAATGCACATTGAAAATTATAACTGTTAACATGCTAATCGCTGTGGTTATTGGTATTATAATCATTGTGTGCAGGGTCAGTAGCTCACATGTAGCCTCACAGAGCTGCTAGCCTTCCAAAACCTCCATATGTAACCGTTTTGTGCAAATACACCAACCTTTCTCACACCCTAACTCTATGACTATATCCCTGAGAAATGTCCTTGTTATTTTTAAAGTTCACAGAGTTGCAGATATTACCCAACATGTCAATTCTTTGTTATCTAATGTTGTTTTGAGACTCGATGGACCACTTCTGTTTCTTGGCTTTTGATTCTTTTCTTTTTTTTGATAATTCAAAAATCTAAACTATGCCAACTATCCAGGAGGTGCAACAATAATATTTGTTTAATCAAGAAACACAGTTACCATTACCAGCTAGAGTGGGGTGTTACGGTTGAATGAATGTAAATATTTACTTTATATAACTTTACTTCTATAACTTGTGCAATGTTCGCACACATGTGTCCCATGTTTTACATGATGTGGGGGCATTCGAGGCTCAAGAGTTGGCAGTCTTGTAATCGGAAGGTTGTCGGTTCGAGCCCCGGCTCCGACAGTCTCGGTCCCCGTGTCCTTGGGCAAGACACTTCACCGGTTGCCTACTGGTGGTGGTCAGAGGGCCCGGTGGTGCCAGTGTCCGGCAGCCTCGCCTCTTTCAGTGCACCCCAGGGCAGCTGTGACTACAATGTAGCTTGCCATCACCAGTGTGTGAACATATGGATCACTAAATGTAGTGTAAAGCGCTTTGGGGTCCATAGGGACTAAGTAAAGCGCTATACAAATACAGGCCATTTACCATGATGTGTAAACAGGGAATTCGGTTAGCATACTCAAACAACCTTGGGCTTCAAAGCCTTTGTTTAAACATAGCTGTTCGCTTATCAAGATTTTTTTTTTTTGACAATTTCTCTGCGACATGGAGTCACTTTGTCAGTTAAGACAAGGAACATAAAAGCTTGAGTACAGGTTGTGTTTCACAGGCGTGTAATATGATGGCCTCTTCCTTTGTCATGCTTCAAGTAATAATCTCATACCTGAAGGCTTTTAGACAAACTTGACGGTGCACTTGATATTCAGCATTTCTCTTAGCATTAGAGAAACGAGTACTTTTTAGCAGACTTAAACTAGTTCATCAAACAATCATCAGTTACTTGGTAACACATTAACCTTCATACAGCACTGTTTGTTGAACTGATGTTTTTATTGTGAATAGGAAATTGATATCGATTCACAAGCAAGATGCATGTGTAAATGTACCATTATGCTGCAGTGTCAGATTGATGATGCTGTTCTGTATTCACCTGGTCCTCTAGTCCAACGGTCCCCAACCTTTTTTTGCGCCACGGACCGGTTTATGCCCGACAATATTTTCACGGACCGGCCTTTAAAGTGTCGCGGATAAATACAACAAAATAAAACTACCGTAGTACCGGTACCGAAAAAAAGAAGATTTATTCATAACACACATGAAAAGACCCAGGAAAACAGAATTAACGATAAAAACGATAACAAAATAACGCTAAAAATCGATAAAAACCCTGAAAACCATACATTTCACACCCGAGCCTCAACTCTCGCGGCCCGGTACCAAACGACTCACGGACCGTGGCCCAGGGGTTGGGGACCGCTGCTCTAGTCGATGGCGAGCTTGGTAAGATGTATGTATTTTTGTTACTCCCATGCCATTAGTAGTTTGTGGAAAGGTACAAAAGCCCCGTATCCAGGTTTGCTGGGGGAAAAAAGGAGATTAAGTTACTATTCAAACAGACTATACGTTAGAAAATCACACTTATATTTATAATTTTAATATTTTAGATGTCGCGGAGGTCGTGTGTTTGTTATTGTTGTTTTGTTCTTTTGCAGTCTCGTAAAAAAATACTACATTTAAGTAACATTTCCAAATGCAGTCAGTCAAGTTTGTCATTGTAGGAAAGTGAGTTCACATTACAAGGTTGCACCTCATGCCTTTAAAGACAGCTAAGATGACCTGACAGCTGCATGTGCAGCACAGTGCAGCACAGTCCTAAAAAAATACCCAACAGCCACTTCATTAGGCACACCTTGCAGTTTTATGTTGGACCTTCTTTTGCCTTCGGGAATGCCTTACTTCTTCATGATATGAAGTTAATAAGCTGTAAGAAATATTCTTCAGACATTTTGGTCCATATTCACAGATAGTTGCTGCATATGTGTCAGCTGCACATCCATGATGCAAGTTTTCCATTTCACCACATCCAAAACATGGTCTATTAGATTGAGATCTGGTGACTGTGGAGAACATTTGACTATAGTGAACTCATCTTCAGGTTCGGTAAACCAGTTTGAGATGATCTGAGCTGGAAGCAACCATCAGACGATGGGTACAGCGTGGTCAGTGACATGGTCAGCCACATTTCTCAGGTAAGCTGTGGCACTTGAAAGATGCATATGTAGTCTCTTGGTGTTGCTTCAAGGTTCAACATGTTATGTATTCAGAGATTTTCTTCTGCTTTCATATCATTTAATGTAAACCCTTGAGATGGTGAAATATTGAATTATGGAATATCAAATCCATCAAAGTTAATGTATTAATACATTGTGTAATTGTGTGAAAGAATGGTGCTTAAGGTAAATACACTTCAAAACAAATGTAAAGGTTTAGAAGCATTTGAATTTAAATAGATACTGAGATTATTGTAAAAAGCATTACTTAGTGCACACATCCAAATCGCAGTACATTACTAAATGTCAAGGTGCACAACCTTAGAGCAAAAACATATACATGTTGCTTGAGTACGGCTGGTAGGAAAATGACATTGGTTACCATTCAAAGTAGCTGTGTCCCAGGTGGCTCCCATCACATAGCCCTGAATCAGGAGTTTGTAGCTCAACTCCAAGGTGGAGATCTACCTCCCCCTGCAGGTGACCGAGGAAACGAACTATTCCTGTGCTGATCCTCCCAGATGGCAGCATGATCCTGACCCGATGGCCTAGCTGTAAGTCCATCGGGGAGTGAGGAACAAAAACTCGATGTGGCCCTTGAGATTTCCTCCATGATCTCACACTGCAGAAAGAAAACTTCTCTTAGTGAAAGAAAATTACACACATCGATAAATCAGGAATTATGATCCTAAAATATATTCCATGTAATGAATAAATTTGCTTTTGGAACTATATTTTGAATATACACCCTGTGCATTTCTAAAGAGGGAAGATTATAACTGTTGCCGAACGATTTTTTACATAATACATTTTCAATAGGACACAGGACCTCACATGACTCTGAAATGGTCCCTGCTGTTTCCACTGTTTGCAGTTAAACTTCTGAGCATAGATATAAGAATATTTTTTTATCCAACTCTCTGCCAAACCGTTTCTTTGAAAGCAATACCTCGAGGCTGAAGTTGAGGAGGAGGAAGGTCTTGAACTCTGTGCTGAGGATGAAGATAACTGGCTGCCTGACAAACTGCATTCATAACTATCACTTCTTGATGACATGTCAGACCTTCTGCGCTGATGGAGGCCGCCTGCACGTGAGACATTAGCAGCTGATATCATGGCTAAATACAAAAGGATGTGCATATGAAAATTTGTTCTGTTATTGCCATAATTGTGTTACTGCCATTTACCTGAATACTCTTCAAATGCTTCTCCATTGTCCACTCCTGACTCTCCCTGGTCACTGTAACTGCCCACTTTCACCAACACTCCAGACTCCAGCTGAGGGAAAGGAGGCAAAGGTATAATTACAGAACCTCAGCCACCCACACACAACTTCACACACAAACACACCTGATTATGCAGCTCTTCCTGTTTTCTCTTCAGCTCTGTAAACCTCCTTTCCCATGATGCTCTCTCACAAGCAATCCTGGTCTTCAGTGATAGCACCTCTTTTTCAGTTTTGGTCAGTCTCTTCTGGAGGGCAAATGTACGGTCAGGGCTACCTGGTATGGCGGCAATCCTGTTATTTTCGGCACCTGACAAATAACATCAAATAAGGTAAGCATCTAAATCTGCACATTAGCAAAGGGGATGTGAAGTAGGATTACATAAGGAGGAAGAGAGGCTTTAAGAAAATAAACTGTGAAATTGAGTGTTTAACAGTTGACTAAATATTTTTAAGATATTTTAAATGTGCTGGTGATCACTCTTTGATTTTATGAGTTTCTTACCCACAACTTGTTTCAACTCATGGCTTTTGCCCTCTGTAATGGGGTTTTCCCTTGGTAAGAATCTGATAGCATTGTATGGACATATCTGCAATGCAGATCAACACTGATTAAATTTTTTATAATCACCACTTACAAGAGCCTTCATTAAACTGTGATGTAAGCAGATTACCCAGATGTGAATATAATGAGCATACACTCACCCAAAGGAACCTGCAGGTGCAGAGTATCCCTTTGACTGCCCACGTAAACACAGCCCATAGGACTGTCATGTTAAAGCACCGTCCTCTCACATTGTCCTATCCTGAGCAGACAAAGGAATTGTTTTTCTTTAGTACAGTAAGTACTACAGCTGAAAGATTATATCTTTACAAAAGAGTGGATTTGGTTACAGAAAACTCAAGGCTAGTTGTAGGTTTTCTAAGAAAAAAATGGGTTGTACCATCTGTAGGTCAATGCTACCAGGCTATGCCCTCGTAACACATAAACACACTCAAAAACCACATTGAAATTAAAATGTGGTTGAAAGCTTATGACTTCGAGCAGGACACTGACCTTTTGCAGAAGCTTAACTGAAGGCTAGAAGTCATAGGGAAATGGTAGCTTCCATCTCTGCTAAAAGGGCCTCTGTCCCAGTCTATGGTGAAGGCTAATGTGCCACACAGGGCTCACTGACCTGTTGCTATGTGCCAGCTCTGTGTGAGCGCTGCTGACGACCGCCCGGGAGGTAAATCTAGTCTAATCTTCTTAGTCGTGCAGTTACACTATCTGGTTGTATCCAAGCTGCTACATATGGTTTACTGAGTCTGATAAACAATGTGAATAAGCCTCTACATTTAGTGCAACTGTTACATCTGTTGGAGGAAGAAGGATTCAGTATCATCACCCATCTGTTTAGTCTGTCTGTTGTCAAACTGGAGAGGTCATCCTTAATATTGATACAAAAATCTCCTTTCTTACTGTGTTTTCACTCTGCATTTGGCCAAGATCAGTGTCACTGCTGGTAGCATGAGGTGATACCTGGACCCTACAGAGGTGGCACAGGTAGTCCAAATGCTCCAGGATGGCACATCGATACGTGCGATTGCCAGAAGGTTTTCTATGTCTCCCAGCACAGTCTCAAGAACATGCAGGAGATTCCAGGAGACAGGCAGTAACGTAGGAGAAACTAGGAGAAACAAGGCTGTAGAAGAACGTTAACCCATCAGGTGCAAGGATGAGCAAGATGAGCACTACGAGAGCCCTACAAAATGACCTCCTGTTAATGTCTCTGACCAAACAATCAGAAACAGACTTAATGAATGTAGCCTGAGCACCCGACCTTCTGTAACATGGTTCAGCATGATGTGTTTTTGGTGGATCAGTAATGTTCTGGGCTGGCATATCCATGGAGGGAGGCACAGACAGGCTGGTCAACAACGCCCTGTCTGACATTAGGTATTGGGACGATATTAATGGATCTATTGTTAGACCATACACTGGTGCAAGGTCCATCTATAGTTCGGTGCATCTATCCGACCACCAGGTTGCACTTCACATTGTTTAAGAGCTCAGTGCAGTCCTGGTCCAGACCTGGGAGGGCATTCCCAGGACACCATCTGTTGTCTTGTTAGGACCATGCCCCAGTGTTGTCAGGCAAACACACACACAAGTATGTGGGGACCATACAAACTATTGAGTACCATTTTGAGTTGCTGTAATCAAATTTCAGCAAAATGGACTTGCCTGCCACATTACTTTTTCTATTATATTTTGGGGGTTTCTTTGAATTCAACCATCTGTAGGCTGTTAATTTAATTTCCATCAAACAATGTGTCATTCTTTCATTTCAAACACATTACCCAGGCCATACCAGAGATCCAGCATATTGGATATGCTGGATCTCTGGTATGCTGGAGATCTGATGTGTTTTCAAAGTGTTCCTCTTTTCTTTTTTTTTTAAGTTTCTATAAAACATAATATTTTTAGTCACATCTATTATAAATGATCAGACTGTGCACAGAGACATGAAAACTGCTAGGGAGTGGCAACGCAAGTGCTTAGTTATTCTCCTAGCAACATCTACAGTGACTCACCAGCTGTGTATCAGACTAATTAGTTTGCCCTGAAACTTGAGGCGGCATTTTGCAAGAGGTAGAGAAAAAAAGAGAAAATTCCCAGGGAAGATTGATTCTGTGTTCATATCTTTTGGGTGTCAGATTTGGACTTGATAAGCTCTGATGTTTGAAAAATACATCCTATGTGACGCACAAGGTTTTTGTTCCTTTACAAGTATCTGTAGGTTCATACCAACATAGAGGTAAATATTCAGCAAATTTATGAAGACAGAACAGAATCCACAGTAATGCGGCCAAGAAACTACAAAAGTAAATTGTATTTTAGGCTCATATTATTAACAGTATGAACCTTAAAGGATTTCCCATTTTACCCAAACCAGCCTTCAGATTATTTTTTCTTTCACAAAAATTAATAAAGGCTGCAGCATAAAACTAGCAAAATATGTGGCCGTCCAATTCAAATAGTTATTAGAAAGGACTGGCAAACACATGTTGCTTATATGCAACCATTTATGTGGTTAATGGTTTTGGTGGGTGCCAGAGGCTATCCCAAAAGCACCTTACAGCATGGTCATCAGTTTATCACAGCACTAACACATACACATGCACATGATAGCGCTGCATGATACGTGACACTTAGTATGACAAGCTGTGACAATTTACTGCAGAATTCAGAGAGTAAAACAATTATCTCACATCTTGGGTTTTATTTCTTATGCATACATATAGACACTTATAGTCACGGACAAAATAAAAAACACACTCAAGTAATGGTTTATAACCTGTTTTGCAAAGTGCCGATGACATTATAATTATCTAAGTCCATCATAGCTCCTCATTTGACTGTGTTTGCAAAGTCCCAGTCATCTGCAGTCGATGTTATTATCAATTATATTATGTAAATTATATACCTTTACATAGTTTTGCATTCAGTTTATGGAATTTTTAACCAACCCTGTATTTTCTGGACATGTAAGATACTTAAACACTTATTATTTTCCAAGGAAAATGCAAAATTATATCATGGATTGTTAATAGTCAGATACACTCAGTCTTGAATTCCTAAATAATTTTTTCAAACTAAAATATCACTCAAACATTGTGAGATTATCACACTAATCCCAAAACTGGATAAAGTTAATAATTAAATAACAAAGTATAATTCATTTAATTGGGGTAAGTAAAACATGTCTATATATACTATATGTATACTATACTATATGTCTGTAGTGGGGAAAAAGTATGTAAGCATTTAAATGAAATGACTGTAATGTAACTGTTCAGATTAATAATTAACTGCTTGCTACAGATTCCTCACAACACTTTTTTAGGAGTTTGACATCCAAAATACGCATTTTATTTATTCTACTTTAAACATTCATTCTTAGAAAATAGTCTTATATGGCATTAATTCAATTTATTTCAGCATGCAGACATGATAAAGAAGACCTACCAAAGTTAAAACATCATCGGAATCAGGAAGAAAGGTGATTTAAGTGATTTTAAACGTGGAATAATTGTTCTTAATCATCCAATGGGGCTGGTCTGAGCTTTTTAAAGATCAGTCTACTGAGTTGTTCCCACACCACCAAAAACCTGAGGTTACAATTTTCAAAATGGGCAAAAGAAGATGGTTTCGTAGCCTTTTCCAGAATGTTTAGCACCAATAAATGTCTTTAGTTCACATCATCTCACTCAAAATGAGGGTGTCCACTTACACCCCAATGCAATTAATGAATTAGGCGCATAATTAATTATGATAATAAGTTCTCATTACCTGCTTTTAGGACTTAAATCTTAAATTTAATGGTATTTTAGGTGTCAGTGGGACATCTCTGCTGGAGATGAGGAGATCACTGTCCAAACTTTTAACCTTTAGGTTGTGCTGCGAGTGATTCCTGATAGGTTTGGCCAATAAATTACTTCAAAGATGTGTAATAAGAAAAAACATTCTCTTGTTCTGTTATGTTTTTAAAATAAGATATTCTATACCATTTTATGTCTTTTAATCACTATTATCTCTAAATATGTTTATATAATTAACAGTAAAATAGCTCAAACACTGCCTAATGAGAAATCTCTAACGTTAAATGAAAGTACAAATAAAGTTCAGAGTCAGATTTTCCACCTAATTTAGAAATCCAGAAAACTCCCGTTTTGAGGGTTATTTTCATACAATTATCCATACATAGCCGAAAAAATGTCGTTATTATTATTGGAGCTGCAGTGAAAAAAGGAAGGACTTCTGTCACCTAAATTGTGCAAGACTCTTTGGTGTCATGCCCAAGAATTTTATGTTCTTTGAGCCACAAAGAGCGAATTGTAGCGTGCAGAGGGGGCGTATGGCTGGGAGAGAGAAGGGGGTCTAATTTCACATTGTGTTGAACCGAAACCAAGAGGCCCCCTATACAATCAACACACAGGACACTGAAATCTCACCTGTGCTCTCATAGACAAGTACAGGCTTAATCCACTCAGTTATTTCAGTTAATTGTAAGTTTCGGTATGTACACTTTTATTTGAACTCAGAGTAATCAAAACTGTGTGAGTACTGTAAAGTAATATCGTCTTTTATTACAACATTAATTGTGGGGCATCCAGCAAGTGCAAGCCTTTAGTCTCCTCCTCTCACACTTGAATAAGTGTCCAGCTGAGAATTTGTTCTTATTGCGTTGCTATCAGCAGTGCTATCAGCAGGAAGCAAACAGGGGAGGTGACAGAGAGCAAGAGAGAACTCTGCAGTGGGAGAAAGCTCATTCACTTCAACCACAGCTGAGACAAACCATGCCCAGTGCACCACAGGTGAGTGGATTTTACCGATTTTGAATGATGGACTTTGTTAGTTTTACTTAAATTCCTTAAGCTATATTTACGCATAGCAAGCAGGCGGCTCCATTGAAGCTGGATAATTATACAACAGGCTGATGTTTTCTTCGTTTTCTATTGTACGTTTTTCAGTTACAAAATATTATTTCACATATTACATGTGCAAATATGGTGAATATGTTTTTCTAATGTTTTTTCTAATATTTGAATAAAGGTTTTATATCCCTTAATATTTAAAATGTAATATTCAGTTTCAGTCTCAAAAACATTTAGTGTTATGATGTCTATAAAATGAACCACTTTGAGGATTTTGATTACAAAATCATTTAAAAATTTATACTCAGGTGTTCTGTTTGTAGCATGTGTTGCCTATTCTCCATTGCTCTTTATAGAATAGGCAGTTGCTAATACAACTAATTCCTTCCCTGAAACCTCCTAATATTCCCAAAACATTACATCATTCATGACTGCTTTTGCCAAACACTAACTAGTACATCGACTGAGTCTTGCAGCAGCAGTTTACCAATAAGATGATGTAAACAGGAAGTTTGTGTAAGGAGGACACTACAATAGGTATATTGGCATCATTAAGAGTAAACAGCTTGCACCAAACCAAGAAATTCCTGCCAGTTTTCCTAATTAAACTGCATTTTGACATGGAAGTTAAAATGGCCACTGTTGTCGGTCAGTTTCCAGGGTGGAGAGCCCACAGGAGGCCACCCTGGGATCCAAGGAAGAAGAGGAAAAAACAAGCCATGCTGCTTAGTGGCTCTCCCAGGGGCACTGAGCATGGAACAAACACATTTTAATTGTGTTCACTGCACTGCAAGACACTTAAAAAACAATTATGTGTCACTACACAAAACTAAACTTTACCTCATAGGGGGGATTACCATGCAGTGCTGGTTTTAAAAAAAAAAGTACCAGAAAATGCTGAAACTAATTCCTTGAGAAACTGTGCAAAAAAAAAAAGCACAACAGGTTTAAATGTCACATATCACATTACTTTTGAATTTCTTATATTGTAACTCAACCAAACAATTATGAGATCAGTTTCACCAGAACAATTGGAGATTTGTGAAAAGAGAAGACCATTGATGACCATCGACGCTGTCACAGATCAAACAAAGTGCCCAGGTGTGTTACAATGAATGAGCATGGCTGTAATTCAGAGACCTATTACCGTGGGTAAACAGTGTGAACTGTGCCCACCGATACAGACCTTGTCAATACAGAAATGCAGTTATTGTTTAGTTTATTTATCTTGGTGAGATTAATCTTCAATTTTGAGTACAACTCAGTGGATATTAAAAAAAGGAAGGACAATGCAAGATGTTCTTTCATGCTGATAATGAGTTTACTGGGAATTTGATGGGTATTATATAATTACAGGCTGGACGAAGAGCTCCCTCCCTTTCAGGCAGTGGCATAATGACCTCCACTACTTTTATAAAAGACACAGGTATGAGTTTGTATTTTATTCTCTATTTAAAAGCACTGTTCTCGGTGACATATATATTCTGTTACACAGGTGAAATGGAGACTCAATCAATATGTTTTAGGATTGTTTATTTTCCACCCATCCTGCCTATCATCTAAGAAAAAACTTGCACAACTTTAATGTTTCAAGCATATTGCGCCCTCTGCAGCACCTTAGACTTGAAGTTAGGAAAGGAATAAAACTAAGGAATGGAAAAAGAAGACATGGAGTATTTGTTGTATGTTCAGAATAGAGAAAATCAGATAAAATTACTGGGATTTGGCTGGTTTAATAGGCAATATGCATGTCTCACGAAGGAACTTGCATCCATTAGGGCTCAGGTCTTGCATGTTTTTGAAGAAACAAATGCACATCTAACCACTGAAACTATGGGAACCCAGTGCTAATGTCCCAAAAGCAAAGATGTCATACTGCTCTCTCATGAATAAAAAGATGACACACGCATGTTGGCATGGTACCTTTGCACCAGAGTGGCATGCCTTTCTGCAGATAAATACAAGCTTCCATGATTACAGTCAGTCTGTGGTTGCTAGAGACACATGTTTATGTGTCTCAGCTTGTAAGAAATGTTATTACCAGTAAAAACTACTTTTGACTGCTCCTTTATTTAAAGGGGGTTGTCTTAGTAGGTAACCCACATTTAATTTGACATACTTTTTATACGAGACGCCCTTCCTGACAAAACCTGAAAAGGTTTTGTGCTTCGTTCTAAGATTGAACAAAGGAAACCTTTGCTTGTTAGGCACATGTGAAAATCAATACACTGTGGAGCCACTAGGATTATCTTTCTGAATATTGAGCATAATGCATCATTGTACTAAATTTTGCTTCATAGGGCTGTTGGTTAAATGGTCCAGCTGTCCGATCATCATAATGATATCATAAAATAATCTCTGTAATGCAAAATTCAGGTACAATCATGCATTATGCTAAATATTAAGAATGACAGTCCTAACAGCTGATGTTAAAGACAGTGTTAAGTATCTGTTTATTATAATGGGGCGTGAGTGTAAATAGATTGGCACTTATATACTTTCCACTCAATCTGAGCACTGAAAACAGTTTTCTCATTTATCCAATTTCATGCACATTCATACAGCACTTTTATCAAAATTTTTATATTCACAAGATGCATTCATGGGAGCACTGGGGAAACTCTGGGTTCAGTATCTTGCCCAAGGATTCACATGTAAACTGGAGAAGCCAGGGATCAATACACTGACAAAGTTATTATAACAGATCATTTATTCTCTTCAGCTCTCCTTCTGTGGTGTATCTCTTCAGCCTAGTGGCCAGGGCGGTGAGCCTTTGTTTGGCACTTTCTAGAGCCTCAGTTATGGACATCTTGTTGTGACTCTTTTTCATTCAGAACCAGTGGAGTATATGACTTCACCAGTCTGTCTGTCTTCATTTGAGGTTATTGCACTGATCTGCCAGGTGCTTTCTACTCAATCAAACTTCAAACATGCTCTGCGACTTTTGTCATTGGATCAGCAGGCATAGTAGCATTTCATAAATTCCATATGCCAGTTCTTGTGCATGTATGTCCATGTTCAGTATGTCCTGGTTTGTCAACACCTGATGGGGAACTTTTCAGGCGACGTCTGAGCCAGTTATATATCTTTTGCTCATGTTCCAAGGTAAGCTTCAATAGCATTGGTGCCAAACCCGAGGGCACTATATAGATATATAAACATCTTAGGCCCGGTATTTTTTAACAGATTTATAGTTTTATCAGCATAAGTAAAAAACAAAATAGTTTGCTCATATTGTGAATCTGTAATATATGGTTTTTATGTTGATTTGCACCTGGATAAAAAAAGGGTAAGGGATATTCAGAACCAGTTACCTGGTGTTTGTGCCAGTCTTTCAAATAGAAGCTAAGATATTGCATGAAATCCTTGATAAATATCATCACTCATTATGATTTATTCTCTGATCACCATAATATTAGAGAATTTTATAAAAAGTTTCCCAGAAAATGCAGTCCATGCACATTATGCAATGTTGTTAAAAAAAATCCACCCAATCCTGTCTTATTATGTTTCCTCCAAAATGCCCAACTTTACAGGTATTCTGCGAGTCCTCCCTTTAGGACTATTTCTGCTATCCATGTTAGTATCAGGAGTATCAGGAGCAGCCACTACCACCCCACAAAGCTCAACAGCACCCAGTACCAGCCAGCCCTCTTCTACCACCAATGAAGGTATTACAGTGCTCACTACCCATTCTTCCTCAGCCACTAGCCAGTCCACATCGGCAGGCACAACATCAACCACCGGTGAGTCCCCCACATCCACAGGCACAGCATCAACCACCAGCGAGTCCCCTACATCCACAGGCATAGCATCAACCACCAGCGAGTCCCCCACATCCACAGCCACAGCATCAACAGCCAGCGAGTCCCCCACATCCACAGCCACAGCATCAACAGCCAGCGAGTCCCCCACATCTACATCCACAGGCACAGCATCAACCACCAGTGAGTCCCCCACATCCGCATTAACAGGCACAGCATCAACCAACAGTGAGTCCCCCACATCCACAGGCACAGCATCAACCACCAGCCAGTCCCCTACATCCACAGGCACAGCATCAACCACCAGTGAGTCCCCCACATCCACATCCACAGGCACAGCATCAACCACCAGTGAGTCCCCCATGTCCACAGGCACAGCATCAACCACCAGTGAGTCCCCCATGTCCACAGGCACAGCATCAACCACCAGTGAGTCCCCCACGTCCACAGGCACAGCATCAACCACCAGTGAGTCCCCCACATCCACAGGCACAGCATCAACCACCAGCCATTCCCCTACATCCACAGGCACAGCATTAACCACCAGTGAGTCCCCCACATCCACATTAACAGGCACAGCATCAACCGCCAGTGAGTCCCCTGCATCCACACTAACAGGAATAGATTTGGCCACCAGCCAGTCCCCCACATCCACAGCCACAGCATCAACAGCCAGTGAGTCCCCCACATCTACATCCACAGGCACAGCATCAACCACCAGTGAGTCCCCCACATCCACAGCCACAGCATCAACAGCCAGTGAGTCCCCCACATCTACATCCACAGGCACAGCATCAACCACCAGTGAGTCCCCCACATCCGCATTAACAGGCACAGCATCAACCACCAGTGAGTCCCCCACATCTACATCCACAGGCACAGCATCAACCACCAGTGAGTCCCCCACATCTACATCCACAGGCACAGCATCAACCACCAGTGAGTCCCCCACATCTACATCCACAGGTACAGCATCAACCACCAGTGAGTCCCCCACATCCGCATTAACAGGCACAGCATCAACCACCAGTGAGTCCCCCACATCTACATCCACAGGCACAGCATCAACCACCAGTGAGTCCCCCACATCTACATCCACAGGTACAGTATCAACCACCAGTGAGTCCCCCACATCCGCATTAACAGGCACAGCATCAACCACCAGTGAGTCCCCCACATCTACATCCACAGGCACAGCATCAACCACCAGTGAGTCCCCCACATCCACATTAACAGGCACAGGCACAGCATTGACCACCAGCCAGTCCCCCACAACTACACCTGCTTCTATAGTTGATTTACCCACCACAATGCAATTCCACACAACCTTACCCACTTACACAGGTATAGCATTTACTGACACGCAATCCCTGACAAATATACACATCTCTGGAAACTCAGTATCTATCACTACTCAATCCTCCCAACTCAGGAGGGTCACCAAGCACTGGTACCAATACAAAAGCCTTTGGCAATGCTGTATCTTTAACTTCTATCCACTCTTTTAATTCAGCCAATTCTACTAATTCAACAACAAACTTAACAAACTGAATCAGTAAAGTTGAAGCAATATTGAAATGTATTAGCTTTGTTTTGTATAACATTTTGTCTCTTCAAGTCTTTGCTAAATGTACTTGTATATTGTTTACATGATCAAAATAAATTAATAATCAACCAATCAATCAATTCCTTGTCTCCAGTTGATTCTACGACCACGACCAAACCCACCACGCCAACTACCACTTCATCTTCCAGTTCTTTAACCACAAAGATGAACACCAGTCAGTTTTTTATGTATTTATTTCCTTACTTATTTGTTCATTCATTCATTCATTTAGTATGTGTGTGTTTTGCTGTTTGTTTGTTTGTTTGTTTGTTTGTTTGTTTGTTTGTTTGTTTCTTTGTTTGTTTCTTTGTTTGTTTCTTTGTTTGTTTCTTTGTTTGTTTGGGGAGGGGTATTTTTTATTCATTCATTTTTTCTTTTTTTCATTCATTCACATTTTAATTTGTTCTTGCATCAAAATTAAATAGATCTTTTACAATCAATGTTGTGTTGCTTTAAAAAACTCCAGTCATGACATCTGTCTCTCTATCACAGGTGACATGACTGAGAATGGAACCACTAAGGCAAGTCAAATATTCTCCTTCTTCTGTTCACTTATCTATGAGTGTTTTTCATTCCTTCAAGCCTCTTCATCACATGCCTCTTAATTCTCTCAAATACAGATATACTGCCCCTCATTCAACTGTAACTACTCTGACTGCTATTCAATGTACATCAGTCAGAACACCACTCCGTGTGCTGTCGATAATTGTTGTCAGGTAGGGCAGTCAGCTAATGGCACTAAAAACTAAGAAACTATTTGAGCCATAGCAATTACAAATCCCTCTTTTTAAGGAATTGAGCAGTCAAAAGATTGCATGGTATCTATAACTGACTATTAAAGGGAAAATACATTTATTTTTTCTAAATAAATTAACATAGTATAGAAATTAAAGAAATTAGATGTGTCTCTCTAATCTTTCTGTTATATCTCAGTTGTTAAGGCAAACAGACATGTGGTATACTGCCAGCTGCAGCAACTCTTGTGCTGACAGCTGCAAGAATGCCTCCCAGACCAACTGTGCTGTGAACTGCTGTAATTTCACTGGCTGTCTCAATTACACTTTTGCATCCATGATGAGCATAACAACCAATGGTAACTACACCTTTCTTTTAAATCACTTCATTTGAGCACTCATAAATATTTTATGTTTTACCATGCTCATATGTCTGTGAAGGTTCTCAGTCATCCAGGTCATCGTAGTCAAAGGAGCTTGGAGAGAAAAGCATCTGGACTTCTTTAAGTTGCTTTAAGACGTTTCTTAAAGTGGACCAAGGCTGGCCAAGGGTGACGCTAGCAAGTCTTCAAGCAACTTAAAGAAGTCCAGATGCTTTTCTCTCCAAACTCCTTGAATTACCATGCTCCTGTTGTCTTTGCAAATGATCAATTTTTAAATCTTAAAAAAAAACATCACTGTATATTGTTTTGTTCTTCTCCTTTATCTACTTTTAGGAACTCAAACCACAAAACCAACAACCACGCAGGCCCCTACTACAACTACTACCAGTCAAACAACAGCAAACAATGTAAGAACTGCTGGCTGCATGAATGAATCTTTTGGCAAGCAAATGTGCATGCGGGAAGAAGGCTGTGTATCACTAAACAAAACTAATTTGGCCTTTAACACCACAGTCCCCTTTTCTTAAATGTCAGCTACAAACTTCCTCTGTTCCCTGCTTCCAACAGAATCACTATGTTTAACAAAAGTATTACCTTTTTTTCTAATAATGATTATCTTTGACTGGTTAATAAACTGCCTGTCAACAATTTAACAAGTTAATGGAGTGTGGACTGAAAAACCACTTTGTCCAGCAGTGTAAATGAGACTTGGTTTGAAATAAGTTTTATGTTTCTTGCGCTGTTGTTTTTGTCAGGGAAAAAAGTGCCGTGCTGGTACATGCACCAGCGCAAACTGCTATACAAGTTTCACCATGCTACAAATGTGTTCCTCCTCAGAACCACATTGTCAGGTAAGAACATTCAATAGCATAAATATAACATTCATTAATTTTTCCAGCCTCATTGCAGTTGTTTTTTCTGAGCTTCTACACACTCGTATTTCTGTTTGTTTAGTGCTTTTAAAGCTGACACCGTCTTCATGCTATCCTTGCTTCAGCACAAACTTTGTTATAAATCTATGAATTTACTTTCTGAATTTATCAAAATTTGGAGAATATACAAGAAAAAGGAACCAGGGGGCATAAAATGTACCAATATGAACTCAAAATAGCTTTTTATTTGAATCGGTTAAGGAATAAATTATTTATACAAAAGAATCTGAAAAACAAACATAAGAAGTACCTCTACGATACATTTTATGAGCATAAATAAACAAACTTCATTAGCCTCATATTTACAGTTTTTACCATTCATAGGCCCTACACCGATCTTTCTCACTCATTGTCTTTGCAGCTGAAAAATGAGTCTACAGATACTGCCACAAAATGGACAGCGGGTTGCACCAACTGCACTGGCTACACTGCTTGCAAGGCTTCAACCAAACCTCCATGTAATCTGGAGTGCTGCAATGCCACAATGACCTCTTGCCTATGGTTGAATGGCACACTAAATGTTCCCTCTTTTGCCACAAGAGGTCCATATCTTCACACAGAACTGATAGCTTCCTTACTTTGTATTGTTGCTATCGCTTTTCTGCTTTGAGAACATGCTTGCTCAATTGCTGTGTGCGTTATTGGGTAAGTAGCGCTTTGTGTAACTCCTAGTTTCTCCAAAGTTACAAAGAAAATGTAGAAAAGATATTAATATGAATATTTTTATATTCATATGTAATTGTATAGGTATGGAAATATGGAAAACATTAATTGCAATGTTGATTGTGCTTCTTGTTTAAACTTTCCAGTCCCGTTTATGTCTGGTTCCAGACCACTGAAATGGCTTTGAACAGTATTTCTCTATGAAATACTATTTTCAGGAATCCAGAAAAACAAGCCAGAAGCAACATATCAGTTGATCATACAAGTGATCTTTATAAGCAACAGATTGATAAAGTAAAATAAACTTTTAAGTTATTTTAAACCCTTAGTACCTTGTTGTACGTTCGGAAATGTCGTTATCTATTGCCATTATTGATATAAGATTAAATCTCTTCTTCAAGCTTTTGTTGTAGTAATGCAGATACAACTACATGCACTTTATAAAACACAAATGTTGTGCTGTAACAGGGAGTTGTCTTTTGAAGGTTTGTTGAATAATTCCTGTAGATGTAACATTAATGACACATGCAAGTCAGTGCACTTAGCTACATTTTGTGATTTTGAGGTATTTACTATAGGATTTACAAAGTATATTTTGTGGTACATTCATGTTGCATCAATGCTAAATGAAATTAGAATATGTGAATTCTAGTTTTGTGCACTGTACACTATCAAAAATGCCTTAAAATAAAATAAAATAAATCTTATGTAATATGTCTGATAAGTTTTTCCCCAGCTACAGCTTTCGGAGTGTACTTAGTGGATCGCGGTTTAGCAAAGTCTACATTCCCTCAACCTAAGTTCATAAAGTAATCACATAAATTCCCTTGTTTTGTGTTTTTTTTATCCATAGCTCCAGTTACAGTACCTGTTACTTTTTAAAATAAGCTTTACATTGCAAAAAATACTGACTGTTGCTAGATGGGAAGCCATGTTTCACATGTCTAAGTTATAAGCTGTTCAGTGAATTAGTAATTTGAATTTTATGGCAGCAACACGTCCCAAAACATTTGGGACAGAGGCAACAAAAGGCTGAAAAGGTAAGTGGTCCTAAAAAGAAGCAGCTTGAGGAACCTTTTACAGCTAACTGCAACAGGTCAGTAAGATGCCTGGGTATAAAAAGAGCCTCTTTGAGAGGCAGAGCTTTCCAGAAGTAAAGACAAGAAGAGTTCCACTAAACTGCAAAAAACTGTCTACAAATTGTGGAATAATTTCACAATTGAATGTTTCTCTACTTAAAATTTCAACATCTCATTATCTACAGTACATAATGTCATCAAAAAATCCTAAGAATTCAAAGAACTTACTGTGCGTGAAGCCCAAGGCTGAAGATCACTATTCAATGGCTGTTTTGCACAGGTTAAAGAAGACTTCTAGAAAACATTGTTTGTGAACATATTTCACCATATCGTACACAAATACAGGTTAAAGCTCTATCATGCAAAAAAGAAGCCATATGTGAACATGATCCAGAAATGCTGGCATCACCTTTGGACAGAAGCTCATTGACTGAGGAAAAGCAGAAAATTGTTCTGTGTTCAGATGAATTTTGAAATTCTTTTTGGAAAACGTGTAAGATGATCCAGCCTAAAGAGCACAGAGACCACTGTGTTTGTGATCAGCAGTGAGTTTAAAAACCCGCAATTCTCGGATCATACCAATATCAGGGGGGATTCACGCACAGTCGTAAATTCCCACAGTGTGCACTATGTGCTTCGAATATTGTGTGTACTTTTTGTTTTATACAGTTGTCAGCCAGGCATCTAGCTATGAAAAAATTACACTCCAAAAGACCCCGGGCTTCTGACAAAACAACCCGGGCTTAAGCCCAGTAAGCCACTCCCATGCTCCGCCCCTGATTCTGACAGTTGGATTGGTCTTATAGGTATATACAGGTCTAAGAGAAACATATCCTCCTATCCAGATGACCTCTTCAGGCAAGTTCTTGTTCTTTTATATTTCAACAAGACTATACTAAACTGCACACTGCAATTAGATGTGTTGTTACCATAAAATTCAAAATGACCTTATGTTTCCCTTAAAATTACACATTTTTATCAGGTCAAACTGTTGATATGTTTTCTATGTTTTATTGTAAATACAATCTGGTCTTGAGCAACAGTTGTCCAGGGTTTCTGAAGGTCTTTTGGGAGGTGTTCTGGGGATTTTGTTTGGACATTAGCTGCTATTTCCCTCATTTTCAGTCCAGTATTTATACCTGCTTTCAGAGGAATGTTTTGGTTTGTTGGTTTGTTTGTTTGTTAAGCCACTTAACTGTGACATATGAATCATTCAAGAATTTTACAAAAGTCAACAAAAGCAATGGATGAACCAGTATTGTGTCTGTAGCAGCCTGTCAAGAAAAGTTATCTTCTTAAAAAAAAACTTTTACATTTCCCAATGGACTGTTAGCTAAAACTTTCTATATCTCTTAATGTACACTCTGTACTAAAAATAAATAAATCAGGAAACTGGAAGAGCAGAGGATAAAAGCAGAAGTGGCAGGCCTATAAACAACAGCTGTCTGCCACAGATGAACAGTATCTGAAAATGGTTTCCTTGAAAAAGAACGGAAAATCCAGCAAAGACCTGGCACAGGACCAAAGACATCTGGACCTTGACTTGATCCATCTACTGTTCACTGAAGCTTCAGTAGGTGCATGGTGATTTAACATGCATGCAGCAATATCTGGAAACTGCCTCATTGGCAACAGCTTCATTTGTCAATATCACAATGCCAGTGCATTAAAAACAGGGATAAAAACACACACAATGGAACACTATCAGTCATGGATTTACATCCTCTAGATTACTGAAGCAGTGTGGGATCATATTGAGAGAGAACAGAACAAAATGAAGCCAACATCCAAAGAAGAGCTTTGAATGTCCTTCAATGAGCCTGGGAACTATTCCTGAAGACTGCTTAAAGAAATAACAAGAAAACCTGCACAAGAGAGTTCAGGCTGTGTTGAAGAATAAAGGTAGTAATACCAATTAATGACTTTAGAGCCCATTAGAACTGTACAAACTCTGAGTTTTTGCTTTATTTGCAGTACAGTATGATGATTCAAGAAATCACTGCACCCTTTTTCCTTTGTCCTAGCAAAGTATACATAAATGAGAGGTGATTACACGTTATGCGCTCTATGTATTTTGCACACAGAGCACTGTACTTTGCACAAAGGTGTATGTCCTGTGCCAACTGTGCAAAAGCACATACAGTACAGTTATCACAGTATATTATCATGTATTGTGATAGCAGCTTTTAAAAAAATAATTTAAAAAAATCAGCGTTACACACATCCTGAACAGTTTTTCAATTTTAACTCTCCAAGATCAATAGAAATCAAATAATATTAATGACAGTAATACAGTAGTCCATTTTGACAACGTAAGATGTAAATGCAATACAATATTTTTTGAAGAAAAAAAATACGCAATCGACCACTTCCGCTTGATTGACCGGGGTGTCATCAACACTTCCTCAAAAAGCTTTGATGCAACTTCTGAGGAGTGCGAGGTGTTGCAAGACATAACCGTCCTTGAGCTGGCGGCTTCGGGCCTTTGCAAACCAAACAGAGTGACGTCACACTGGGTGTACAACGCGATCCTGAATCAGTGCGTGGCAGACTGGGTCGGGCTGGGCCAGCAGCGAAGGAAGGTGGAAAAAGAAGAAAACTTCTGGGTCGAAAAGGAATGATGTGGGATTCCGCGGAGCTTCTGCGCTCCCTTTCATTGCGCTGCGCTTCCACTTCAGAGAGAAATAACTGAGCTGCTCGAGTTTCCACGGAGTGGGTTTTCGTTTGGAGTGCGTGGTGCCAAAGTTGTCGCCCAGCAAGCTTGAATGTCAACACTATGGATCAGTCCGTCGCAATTCAAGAAACTTTAGAAAGGGAAGAAAACTGCATCATGGTATCCTTCCCGACTCACACGCATTGGTTCTTGGTTGACCAGCGAATCAGACTATAGATTACATGCTTCCAAAAAACCGCGTTTGACTGGCGCAACAGCTTTTCTGTCTGCTGAGCTCGAAATGGGGCCTGTTGGGTTGTGCCACTTGGCTGTCATCTTTCTGACTAAAGAGTAGCTTTACTTAGGCTTCTATCCGGGCATTGCAGTTGAGTGCACATGGAGTTTATTGGTGCTTTTGTTTTTAGATTAAAAACTAGTCTAGTCAGCAGTTCCTTCAAATAGGTAACATGTACTCAATACTGTAGTGAGACACGTTGTCCACAAGGTGGCAGCTGTGTGCTTTGTCTTTGTTGTCAGTGCTGGTGATCCTATAACTTCACTGTCATTGTCTTAAAGTAAGATGTGCATAAAAATATGTTTTCAAAACAAGGTGCAGAGAGTAGTTACTGTTACTGTCATTCCTCTTTTAATAATATGGTAATAACATGAAGTGTTGCATAATACCATAAGGAGTTTGGGTAGAGATACTGAAGCCAAGTTAAGAAGAGGATTTGAGCTAGCAGCAGTATGGCTTCATGCCAAGGAAGTGCCCTGCAGACACGATTTTTGCTTTAAGAGTGCTGATAGAGAAGTACAGAGACGATCAGGAGGAGTTGTGCTGAGTCTTTGTGGGTCTAGAAAAATCATATGATACGGTACTAAGAGAGAAACTGTGGTACTGTATGAGGAAGTCAGAAGTGGCAGACAAGTATGTGAGGGTGATACAGGACATGTATGAGGACAGCAAGACAGAGGTGAGGTGTGCGGTAGGAGTAACAGATGGGTTCAAAGCGGGGGTAAGATTGCATCATGGATCGGCTCTCAGCCCCTTCTTGTTTGCAGTGGAAATAGACAAGTTAACAGTTACTGCAGACGTTGTGATCTGCAGTAAGAGTAAGGAGCAGGTGGAGGTATGCTTTTGGGAAAAGAGGAATAAAAGTTAGTAGAAGTGAGACCAAATACATTTGTGAGAATGAGAGAGGGCCAGGTCTAAGATGCAAGGTGTGAGGGAGTGAGGTAGTTTAAATACATAGGATAAACCATCCAAAGTGACATATGGTTTTGAGACAGTGGCACTGATAAAAAAATTTAAAAAAAAGTCAGGAGACAGAGCTGAGAGCTGGAAAGATTTTTGTTGCGAACGACCAGGACAGGATTAGAAATGAGTATATCAGAGGCACAGCTCAGTTTGACTGGTTTGGAGCAAAAGGGGAAAGGGTCTTGAAGATGGCGCTGCGAGGCTCCCTCCAGGTGAAGACCACAAGATTCATGGATGTTGTGAAGGAGGACATGCAGAGGGTTGGTGTGACAAAACAGGATGCTAGGAATAAGATGATATGGAGGCAGATGATCTGCTGTGGCAACCCCTAAAGGAGAAGGAGGAGGAGAAGAACGTGAATTGTTGCATGTAAACGGGGAGAGGAAATTTGATCTATAAATATGTTTATTAGCCTTATTTATATGCTGACATATAGATGTACTGGTTTATACTTTTGATATTACTCTGTGAAATTAAGAAATACTGTAAAAAGTGCAATAGTTACTTGTAAGGAATAGAAATCCAGTTTCACGTTCCCACTGTAGTAGACTTTGCTGAAAGGTTTTTTTTTTTCTGGCAGATAAATATGATATTAAACATCAAGTGTAAACAACATCTTTCTCCTTAACTAAAACGTAATCATGCTGTCCAATGTGATGTCCTCTTTGATGACACTACAGAGAGCAGACTGCTGGGGCTCGTGGAGTCTGCAAACGAGCATGCGTAAGTTTTAGTGGCTTGGTGGGGAAAAAATATCTCTGACATGAGTTCTTTGCAGTTTGTTTGAATTCAGTCTAAAAAGTGTTTTCTAAGAAGAGTGGGTGGCAGCAGTACCACCCACTGCTTAACACTGTACACTACAGAGTTACACTAACCTGCCTGACAAAGGTACCACAGTCATGGGATATTTTTTAGTGTGCATGTGTTAGCTCTAGTTAGGCAGAGAACTAACTGAAATACAGACTTCATTAAACAAATCTTAAAATTACAATGTAATGTTTTTACAGAATCTTCATTTATACCCATCGAAGAATGGCAATTACTGCTGACGATGTATTGCTGGAGGCCATAATACCCATCTCTGTCGACTTTGCAGTTGTCACAGGTGAATAGTGTTTAAATATTTTTTAGCTCATCTCAAATAAATATTCCCTTATGCTATTTCAACAGTGTACCTAATCAAAAATAATGTGACGGTAATTTCTCTGAAACATATTTCTCATACTACAATCTTTTTAGTTTCCTCACCAGAGGAACTTGTGGTTGTGGGTGAGTGTGCTAGTTTCCATTACAGCCCAATTAGAAATAAGCTGCATAACTGGTGCACCACACGATAATGAACATCTTGTTTTCGCCCCCTGCATTCTTCTTCTGATTTTAGGCGCTGATACCAGAGTTAGAATAAGCTACAAAGATGAAGAATTAGACCTCAAACTTCCTTTTGGCTCCAACTCGCGTCTCTTCCTCAGCGAAGTCAACAAGGCGTGGAGTGGTAGGTTAGCCCCTATATGATGTGTTTACATGACATCCAGCAAGAAACAAGAATAACCTTTGAAAGCTGTTGGTTCACTGGAATCAAGTATTAATTCGCAGTAGCACCAGCATCTTATTTGTTTAAGACAGGTCATTTGAATCTTAAGTGAAGAAGAGTGTGAAAAAGCACAAATATTTTGCTGTAGTAACCTATGTGAAACAATACATATTGAGTTAATAACCTAGAGGTTATATTATTCTGGAAAACCACATAATATATCTATTTGGAAAAAGACTCCTGGTTATTGCTGTTTTGGTGGTGACACTTCCCTGTGCGAGAATTGCTAGCAGGCAGAGAGGGAAGGGTGGAGTTTGGACAGTATACGCTGTTCTTACTTAATCTTTGTGCACATAGCTTTTAGCAATGGGACATGAAAATTAGACATGACAACAGTTAACAGGATAAGTTACTTCCTTTTTATTAGTTAATTTGCACCACAATTTTACAGCCTGCTTTCTGTTCATCTGAAAGTATCAGGCCGTTAAAGGTCAAAGATGGTGTGCTTTGTTATGGATGTGCCGCTTTTCCCACCAGTTCGCCGTTTTCATGGTGGAAGTCCCAAATGAACACAAGCAAAGACTGATGTGGGTTTTTTGCGGTATTCCCAGTAGAGCCCCAAAGGCTTTTAATTTGCTGTGGGACACCAGTGATGGTAAGAACAAATGGCATGCCGGCTGTTGTTAAAAAGAAAAATTCTCACGGTGAGCCCATAGAGGTGAATTTAACCATGGAGGTTGACTTACAGGGTAATTTACTTTGAAAACAAGACAAGGAATTTTAGGTGGTAGCTTTAAAATAAAGTTGCAAAATGCAACTTTTCTCATTCTTAACACTTTTCGTGTTGCCTTAAAGTGCACACCAGGCTCTTGTCGAATTTCTCATTAAGGCAAGAATCGTTTACAGTTCTTTTATCATTCTTTTCCTCCCTGCTTTTTTTCACAGATGTTTGCAGGACTCCCACACAGATACCCAAGTTTGACTGGATTACCAAGTACCAAAAAGACACTAGAGGACAGGAAGTTGTCAAACAAGCCCTCGCACCCATCGGCACAACTCTCACTAAACTCAACCAGCATGGAAAAACAGGTTTTTCACCTTATTTTAATTTGTATGTGCCGTCTGCCAACGTCTCCCTATGCAATAAAATGAACTGCACTAGAATTGGTCCACCAGCATCTGTGCAGTGGATGTTGGGACGTGTTCTCCATTTTGTCTCTTCGTGTGTGCAGTTTTTGCGTGTCAGTATTGCACCATAAATTACATCCAATTTTGCAAATGCCACTTCCTCTGAATTCAACTGACTCCATCTGAACGTGAGTTGAAAGGAGTCGAAAGGACATCTTGACGTGACAAAGCATGAAAACCACAGGAATAACCTGTATTTTTAATTTGTCCTTTTTTCATTCAATGCACCACAGTAAACTAGAGAGCGAGAGCTCACAGGGCCAACAGGCCTAACAGAAAATGTAGTGCAGTTATTGTTAACTGCTATTAACAATGAAAGAAAAAACATAACAAATTGAGAAGCCATGTGAGATATCTGAGTGTTTTTGTGCATTGCTTTTAAACAGAAAAGCTTCCCAACTTGTGTACGTTCCTCATGCTGTGTGATTTTAAGCAGATTTTAATCAATCATTATGCTTGTGCATTCTGTTTTACTGGCATGCTACTGCTGACAAGTATGCAAAACATGGAATGACCTTATGCAAATCACACAGCATGTGATACCGTGTAAAACTCTGCGTGCAACATCTTTTGTCAGTCAAGTGCCACACAAACACACTTACCTCCATAACAAATAAACAAAAATCATTTTTAAATATGTATCTCTCGTTATATGTTTAATTTTCCTAATCTGATGCAATGTTGTTGAGTCTTCCGATTTCAATCTGCATAGTCGATTAGGTTTGTTTCGGTGTCTTATCTCTGCAGCGGTGGGAGTGTAAACTCCTCCCACTACTATAGCGTTTGGATTGAGACTGAGTGGACATTGGTCTTCTGCACAGAATGCGTGGGAGCAATAAATGGAGATGTCTATGGAGATGAGAGACTTTGGTATGGAAAAAAAAAACTATTCCTGGTTTAATTTGTTGATTTTGAGGAGGTGAAAGAAACGCTGGGGTCCCTGCCATCCGGCCGGGATAAGCTTGCTTCCTAGTTAATGCTAGCGTGCAGTTCTAGTTCTTCTGTCAAGAAATGCTAACTTTAGCCTCATTAGCTTAAGTGCTTATCGATGAAACTGGGTAATTTCACATCCATGTAGCAATGTGTTCGATACATTGTTTTTTCGCCGCGAATCATAGAATCATAGGCGCTCGGTTAAAGAGAACAGCAGCTAGCACTAGCACAGACTTCAGCACCGCGATATCATCGTCATTGTGTGGTTTTAAAAGAAGTGGAACACCTGTTAGGAAAAATGTTGCAACAACACGTTTTAGTGACACATTGTTGTGTCGTTCACCGAGAGGCTCTTTTTTTTTTGTCTTGAATTTTGAGCCATTTGCACTTGTTGTCAGGGTATTTCCACGTTCACCCATTCACTCCCGACTTATCCTCTTAGCCGATTTAGCTTGTTAGCTTCAATCAGTTGCCTGTAAACTTTGTTCCCACCGGCTCTCTCTGTTATTATAGGTCTCCGTTTACTGTCTGCTTCGCCTTCAAAAAGAAAAGTCTGCATGTCATCCAATTAAAATATATGACGCTCCAACCGTTTATTAAGCAGATGTAAATTTACAGTTAAGTATTAAAAGAAAAAAATAATTCATATGAGCAATCTGACGTGTTTCTGCTTGTGAAGCAGTGTAATGATGAACTTTGGCCGGTTGTATTTTGTAGAGATATTCCTGCGTTAATACGGAAGAGAGCCCTCATAGAAGAGTTTGCCACTTATGCTACGTGTAGCTGCACACTTATAGAGGCATCCTGTGACAAATGGAGTGAGCAAGAGGTCATACAGCTGGATTTCCGCTGTATGGATAAAGATACTAAAGCCTGTGCAGGATGTACCATATAATGTTTTAAACGCATAGCCTCATACTGGTTGTACTGTTTTTAACTGTAAATTGTTTTTTTTTTTCATCTAACAGATAAGCAGCTGTACTTTAAGCGAGAGAGAGAAAAACTTGTATGTCTTTAATAACGTGCATGCAACAGTAACACCACAAGGTTTTGCAGTCATTTCCTTGCTGATTTGAGAATGCAGAAATATGATAAGATCTCCAGTCAGTAGCATGTGTGCATTTAATGCCACGAGATTTGTTTCAAAAGTTGTCTGCACGGCAGCAGGTATTCAAAAGTGAAGTAGAATGGACATACACATCCACTGACTTTTATTTATTGATGCATTTTGTGTGACACTGGGTAAGTGCTGTTTGACAGCTGCGTGTGGGTTGTGTGTGCAATAAGAGCATCTTTTGTAGTGTTTTCAAGAGCAATTTCAGTTTGCTGGAAGTTCTGTCAGTCAAATAAAGGGATTTTCTTGTTGACTGAAACAACAGAGTTGCTGTTTTTTAATTAAAATGTCAGAGTGTTAGTGTCAGGATTTTTAAATAGGGCTTAAAATGGCTTGAACTCTTAGCACCTTTTTTTTATGTTGACCTTTTCTTGGGGTTTGGTGCACATGTCACAACCTGTCTTATTGGTAATTAGAGTGACATTTCCTAAAACAACGATGCAGAAAAAGTGACATCAACTGCCTGCTGAGGTGAAAGTAACAGCAGACTTTGATGCTGCAGCTGTTCTGCCAAAAGACATGTCTAATAAAAAAGAAAATAATCTATAAAACCAGTTTTATTAGCACATGTTTTTGCTTTACTTTATTAAAATTACTATCTTATTATTGTTTGTTTCACTGGTTTATGCCTTGTCTGCTTTGTTGTCTTACTTCTTTAACCTTGTGTTTTACATAAATATGATTTCCTTTTTCTTTTTTTTTCATGTCTCAAATGCTGCACATAGAAAAGAGTTACACACATATTGTAAAAACAGTAAGAGACCAGTTGGTTTTAAGTTTGTCATTTTAAAACAAATTTTGAGAAAAGAAATTCACTGTTGTGTTGTTTTTTTTATGTAGATTGTATCTACTCTTTTGGGTCATTGCTTTGTACTGTCTAATGTAGCTTATTATAACTTTGTAGAATTAAATTTCCTGCTCAGAGAACCTGGCTTTCCCTTTCACTGGAGCCAGCTGTCTTGCCTGCCAAGCTTCAGGAGACAGGGGCATGCTGTCTAATACTTCGCACTCAGCCATTAAATCCAGCTACTTGGAATGCAGAAACCGTATCCATCTGCAGGAGGAGGCCTCAGTCGATTGCCCCCAACAACTAAGCTCTGACTTGGCATTTTTATGACTTATATTTATTCACATTTAGCTTAATTTTATTCTTACATTTTGGTTGTTTAAAGGCTGAAATATGAGTTTATTAATATATTAATAAAATATCTTAACCGGCTAAATGAAAATAGTACTTTGTTTGTGGTTCACTGTGCAGGCAGTTATGATTGCATAGCTGTCCTGCAATCATGTAATTAACCATTCTGTTTTATCTTTTCCTAAACAGAGAAATCATCAGACAAAAAAGTAACTTCAGAAAAAGAGAAAGGTTCCAACGGTGGCACACAGAAGTCCAGAGCGTCTGCCAACCAAGATAGGTGAGGAGGCCTTGAGAATCTTTTCATAATTTTTCAAGGGTGGGGAAGTCTTGCATTATACCCACACTAATACAGTTATATTTTAATACAAAGACAAAGACGGTGTCTGTTTTCGGTCCTGCTTTGCTTTGAGTTAATGTCTATTCCCTGTGCTGGAGTTAAGTTTCAGGATGTTCCTGGAAGACTGTATGATATGGGCATATTACATTTTCTCCGCTCATCCCATATTGACCACCTGGAAATAGAGATTGTTGTCTTTGTTGTGTTGAACTGCTGTACATTAAGACTGTAGCTCTCCAGTAAGTATGGCTTAATGCATTTAGGCTAAAGACTATGCTGACTGTTAATACACAGCTGGAGATGAGCATTTCTAGCATCTCCCTAATTGTTAAAACATTCCCCCCCACCACCACCCTCCACCGCAAAAAAAAAAAAAAAAAAGAAAACAACCCTCTGTGACTCAGTTTTTCCATCTCAAATCACGCACGTTATTTCTTCTCTGGTGTGCAGCCTGGGCATCTCCACTCGAGAGGACCGGGATGACCTGGTGCGATCCTCCAGCCACACCCCATCAAACAAAGCTCACATACTAGCCATGCCGCAGTTTGGCCTGCGCGACAACCTTATCAAGTGTGAGCTGATGAAAAAAGAGGAACTGTACACTTTCTTGGAAAATCACAGGTATGTTGCTGTTTATTGTTTTTTGTGCCAGTGTGGCCCTGATTAAAAGTGTGTTTGGCTCATTGATAGAGGCACATAGATGTTGGTGATCTTAAAACTCCTGAATATTGCATAAGCATCATCAATATTTAAAAAAAAAAAAGGTAGCAAAAAATGCTTCCTTGATGATGATGGTAAGGCCTTGGTATTCTGGGTGGGGAAGTCTAATCTAAAGAGAAGTGATGTGATCTTTTCCTGTTTGTTCTTCTTGGTCTAAAGCAGTAAAAAAAAAGTCACTTTAAGCCAGACAACGTGTACATTATAGTAATTTGTTTTTAAGATCTACACTGTAAGCTTTAAAAGTTGGGGGAAAACAGGTTGTAAAATCTGTGGAAAAGATGGTTTATGCATGAAGACTCTGTGCCCGCAGTGTAACTGTTAACACAGTTTGGATGATAGAAGTGTTATGTAAAAAGCATGAGTCAACATCTGTGGGTTTGTCTTGCTGCGTGCTAAATTAAGCCGCACTGTCTCAGACGTTCTGAACACTCTGAAAATAGCTGTAACCATAATGGAAGGAATCTTGAATATGATAAACATGAGTGAGTTAGATCCAAAAGGGAAATATTTGTTTCCCATACATACATGTAAAAGGGTATGCTAAATATGTAATGTTGGACATATTTAAAAAGCCGTATATGATTAACAAGAAGTAAGCTAGTGTTGTGCCTTTAGTCAAAATCGGCCGACATTTGGTATCGTGCTTGCACACATGCATTTGTCTGCTTTTGTCTCGTTTTATACTGTATAGTTGGGACACGCTGGGGGGAAAAATCCATGCTGATATGAATATTATGAATAAAAGCTTTAGAAAAGCAGCAGTCCCAAGCTCCCTTTGTGTAAATATAGTTTCAGCTTTTCTCTGGTTAGCTGAGGCTCGGGCTGTGAAAGCAGAAAGTGTTTTAAGGTTCAGTGGCAGTCAGCACAAAATAAAAAGCCCCATGCTGCTCCTGTGAAAGAGCATTTGGAAAACAGCAGCCGCCTGAAGGTCAGAGACGCGGCACATTGAATGGAAGGAAGTTGCCTTTTTTTGAGCTGGACCTGTAGAATAAACCTCAGTGGGGATGTAAATGGCAAGGGCTCGACCCTCTCACGATTTCTCACGGCATGTTGCCTTCAGTATTCCGTTTAAATTGCAGTGAGGCTGCTCAGTGATCACAAGACATTTATGTGTTTGTCTTTGTACATTTTATGCAATAATATTGATTATTTAAATACAGGAAATGAGGATTTCTCTTTTGCATTTTTTTTTTATTCTTTCTGTTTCAACACTGTGTTTTGATTTCAGTACATTTTCTTTGTTTTCAATTTCGTTTTTCCCTACAGCTCTGCCCTCCACATTGGCTGATAGCTTAGCAAGTGATGGCCAAGAGTCAAAGTGGTGCAGCTCTATTTATGTTAATGGTTTTGTTTATGTGCATATTCTTTATAAAGTATTTACAGTTGTTTTTTTAAGATTAAAAACTAGGTCATTGATTAGTTTGTGTTCTTTTTTTAAGATGGTGTTACTATCTGCTAACACCTTTGACGAAGACCGACTGATAAATCTGCAGTTACCAGCCTGTAGCTATAAAATAAAGCAAAACCATGACACTAAGTCCCCTTTTCCATGACTACATTAGTACTTACTCTGATTGACTCGCGACGTTTTTCAGGGTTTTCCATTAGGTCATAGTACCAAGTACTAAAATGGGACCTGCTCGGCCAGGGCTCCAAGCAATCCGAGCAGGTACTAAAATGGGACTTCGTCAGACTGCTTGCCACTGATTAGCTGATCAGTGTCATCATTTGATGAGTTATGAGAGCATCTCGTTCACAAACATTCAAACCGCCATTTAAAGAAGAAGAAAAAGAAAGAAATTGCTACAAAAACAACACGTTGGTTCCCGAGTCTGAGGAAAAGCCACAGACTGAGCAGCAGGTATATTCTTGCCGTTTGTGTCACATACCAATTACATCAAGGGACGCTCGGACGCGTTGTTGTAACAACAGCCGAGCACATTAGGTTGGACTCCATTGTAATGGAAAACCAGTTGATTCGAGTCTAGTCTTGGCAAGTTGCGCCGAGTAGGTCCTAATGGAAAAGGAGCTTAATTGGAGATATCTGTACATGTTGTGATGAAAACAAACAAAGAAAGTTGTTTGTTGTTGTTGTTGTTTTTTTGTTTTTTTTGACAATTTCTTTGTCCACATGATTGCAGTCTTCTTGCATCAATGATGCGGTCAAACAGAAACATACTATTATTTAGCCGCACTTATCTAGTTAACTGGCTAATATGGCATCGCAGCTCCACAGCTGCACCCACTAGTCATCTGTATATGTTGTGTTACAAATTGTTGTAACACACTATTTTAACAGTGTTGATTATTTCACAACCTCTAATGTCTGATACAAGTAGAAACTTGACACTACTTTCTGCCTGTTTGCCGTCATTCAGAAAGTTGCTGACCATTGGTTATCCAAGCTCATGACACCTGCCCACCCAGGATACTGTGTGTCCAGACAGAAACTAAAGAAGTCAAAAGCAACCTAGAAAACTTGACAAAGGAGTTTGAGAGAAATCCTGATCAGTGACAAAAAGGTTGAGGATTGGTGGAGGATTACATGTAGGACTCTTCCAGTATTTGTTGGTTTACCTTTGAAAGCAATTGCTTTCGTTTCAGGTTTTTTTTCTCCTATTCATTTTAATAAATGTTACTTCTGCAAAAGTGCAGTTGTGCTCTTAAACATACAAAAAAAAGAATTAAAATATCTAGAAATGAGTCACTGCTACAATAAAGCAGCAGGGCATAAGCTTGATATAGACTGACATTATTGTTTCACCATTTAACCACTGAGGGGGGGAGGGGCAAAGGAGGAGCCCGTCAAAGCTATAATTTTATTCCTTTGTTTTGTGCTCACTTTTCATCATTCTTTTGTTTCAGCTTTTTTCTTGGCACATACAATGTGAACGGACAGACACCAAAGGAAAGCCTCCGTCCTTGGCTGAGTTGCACTCCCGAGCCCCCTGACATGTACTGCGTGGGGTAAGTCATATTCTCCTGCTGAACAATAGCTGTGCACTGCTCCGCTTAATCCTATTACAAAGACAGACATTTACTCCTCAAACCTCTGACAGATGCATGCAGCCGTTGAGCCAGTTTTAAGTGCTGAAGACGCCTGCCCACTGATTTTTGCACTGTGTATCCACTAATCCGGCCTGTTTCAGTTTACCGCTTTGGTGTTAAGGAGCCAAAAAGTTTAGTCAGTACCATAGCACTTGTGGATGAAGTGGAAATCAAACCCTTAAAGTTTCACCATTTGCCCTTTTTTTGCAGTTTTCAGGAGCTTGACCTCAGTAAAGAGGCTTTCTTCTTCAATGACACCCCCAAGGAACAGGAGTGGACAAAAGCTGTGTCTGAGGCATTGCATCCAGATGCCAAGTATGCCTTAGTAAGGATTTTTTTTTTCTCCCTCACATCTTGCAGTTCATTGCTATTAGTTGATATTTGAGAAGACTTGCGAATGTCACGATTCACACCACTGATCTTCATTTTAGAGGGCATGTTTGGTTTTCTTCTACATGGGCAACAGTCACACTTTAAAATAGTTTCCTGAAACTGATACAATGCATGCGTTACAGTTTCAAGAACTTCTAGCACCACCTTTCTGTGGTAATAATAATTATCATACAATCTTATTACATCGATTATTACTCAGTTTATTTCTAATAGGAGTTATTATATCCCCGTTGCTTTCATAAGCTTAGTCAGTTAGGTTACTTTTTTGATCTGCCTCTTTTTCTTGTCTTTTGTCTTCACTTTTGTGTTCTTCCTCATTCTTAGAGTACCGACCAGCACATTAGCTTCCTCTTTTTATAGCTCTGGTTGTTTTTTTGTTTTGTTTTTTTATTCAAATCGCCTTAAACGCCACATGATATATGCCAGGTCACCATCCTGTCAGTTTGTTGGATTTTTTTTTTCTGCATCTGCGAGTTCTCTGACTAAAGCACACTTGGCTGCTCTGTTTCTGACACTTTAACTCTTACATAAGTTAAAGCTATTATGAAGTACTTTGCGCTCCTCATACACAACTGTGTCTTATTCTGAGATGTGATTCTCCGCTTCCGTTTTACTGTTCCTAGTAGTTGACGCTGACAAAGTGCTGATATAAGCAACAGAAACTGCACTAAAGCATCTCTGATCATGTCTTGTGGCTACACAATCTCTTGAGTTCCAGTGCAACATCAAAAATGTTTTCATTTAACCACAAGAAATCATTTGTATACTGTTGGTCTGTTTCTGCAGGTGAAGTTGGCGCGCCTGGTGGGCATTATGTTGATCTTCTTTGTGAAGAAGGAGCATGCAGAATTCATCTCAGACGTGGAGGCTGAGACTGTAGGCACTGGCATCATGGGGAGGATGGTAAGGACAGTATTTCAAACTCTCTTTGTGCACAAGTCATCATATAGGTTTCTGGTATTGTGCAAAGTCATTAAGTTGATGTCTGTGGTGTCTGACCACGGGATTTGGTTGCGTGACGGTTAACACTGTTGCCTCAGAGTAAGAAGTTGCTTTGTTCAAATCCAGCATCTGGCCAAGACCTTTCTGTGTGGTGTATGCATGTGCTCCCCATGCATGTGTGGGTTCTCTCCAGGGTACTCACACAGTCAAAAGCAATGCATTTAGTCAGGGTTAGGTTAATTGATGATTCCATATTGCCTATGGGTTTATAATCAGGGGTGCACATAAGTGGTCCGTAGGTGCGCATTCGCTGTCAAAATAAAAGACGCACACCAGATAAGAAGTTGCAACGCGCGTTTGCGTACATATAAAAGGCACTGTTTTTGTCTGCTAGAGTGGCATTTTCAGGGCATATTCTGCACCACATCTCTGTGTGTTCATCATTTGTTTGAAGCCAGCTCACCTCCTGCAACCACTTTTCCGAGAATACGCGCTTCTTTTGAGGTTCGGACTCCTTCTGACATTTCTTTGGAGGTGGAGGAACACCAAAGTAATTGCTGAAAGGAGCTTGCTTCTTCGACATCTTTAAGAGTTCTAAACAAATGTCCTCCTCCAGAAAATCTTATGTACGCAAACGCAAGTTGCAACTTATTATCTGGCCACTGACCACTTATGTGCACCCCTGTTTATAATGGACCTGTCCAGGGTGTACCCCACCTCTTACCTCATGGTAGCAGTAATAGGCTCCAGCCCCACCATGACCCTGAATCTGAGAAATGATTGGATGGAATTGGAAATAATTTTTTAGAAATAAACCATACAGAGTCAGGAGCTTTAGGTCAGGGGTTCTCAACATTTTGTGGGCTAAGGACCTGGCACAGGGAAAACATTCTTTAAGGATCCCAAAAAATCCTATATTTTGTTGGGTTGAGCTTACTGTCAGGTGACCATGTAGGCTTATCAGCCAAGGTATGCAAGCAGCAGGAAAAATTAATTTTACCCTAATATTATTGAGGGATTTCCCCCACCCAGATCAGTTGACATATTCCACAATTATATTAGCATTTATATTCAGCTAGAAATGATGTAGGAACTAGTACAGGCTGGTTTTACTGCATAAATTGGCAAATATTCTGCAGTGCTTGGGTGTGGGTCCTTGTACACATTCTGCCTTTCTGTTTTAGATTATGTCAATAGCATTGTTTTAGTTCCACATTGAAATGATTTTCCTCATATACATATAAACAGGAAGTGTTGAGTATTAGCATTTACATGAAAATTGAAAGGATGAAAGAAAACAAAAATTGGGCTTATGCTATGATGTCTGTCAACTGCCATACAATTTTTATTTTTATTTTTTTATAACTGCCTCATCTATTGCCATTTACCAAGATGGCAATGCATGAGGCAGTTTTTAAGCACAAACAATCTCCTGTGATGATGAAAAGGCATCTCTACTTCCTGTGAACTATTCACTTCAGTGCTTATTCATCCATGAAGCTCTTCCTACAGTAGCTTCAACTTTATTTCTCATACACTGGTGCAGGAAAGGTTATTCTTAACTCATGCGACCGTGCTTACTTAGCAGTCCCTGCAGAGTAGAGCAGATGGCTGGCTAGGGACCAGTGGGAGGGGGGTAGAGCTATGTAAGGTCACTCCATCCTTTCCTGCAGTAATGGGACACTAGTTTATGAATTGCAGCAAGAAATATCCAAAACATGCCAAGCATGAAATTGTTTGCATAATATTGACTTATTGTTTAGCAGATGAGTAAAATCATAGTAAATAAAAACATTTAGTTATTTTATTTTAGTGTTTGCGGAGGCGTTTCAGTGTTTTCTGTCCATTCTAATCAATTACTGATTCACAGGGAAACAAGGGAGCTGTGGCAATCCGTTTTCGCTTCCACAACTCTGATATCTGCGTGGTCAATTCCCACCTTGCTGCTCATGTTGAGGAATATGAGAGACGTAATCAGGACTATAAGGATATTTGCAGTCGTCTTCAGTTTCGCCAACCTGACCTCACCCAGGCGCCACTCACTATCATGAAGCACGAGTAAGTAGCTGTCATTTTAAAATTTACATTGTGAATCAAATAAATAAATACAAGTTTCTCATATTTATGACTATTTCATTAGAATTTGTGTTCTGTTTCTGAATTAGTGTTATTTTATGGATCGGGGACCTCAACTACAGAATTAGTGAGCTTGACGTTGACAACGTGAAGGGTCTCATCAGCAAGAAGGACTTTGAAACTCTGCACAGTTTCGATCAGGTAATATTAATTATGGTTTCCTGATGTGTTTTGTATTCAAACGTGTTTGTGAGCAGTGATATTTACCTATTGCGTGTGGTCATCAGCTCAAGAGGCAGATCGACGAGGAGGCTGTGTTTGTGGGATTTGAGGAGGGGGAGATTGATTTCCAGCCCACCTACAAATATGACACTGGCTCTGACAGTTGGGATACAAGGTAATCTTCTCACATGGAGGCATTGTAAGTCATTCCATGTCAGTGTTCGTAGCAAAAGGTAAACTGATAACAGAAAGAAGTAGCAGACATACTATCATTGTAGTTCGAACACTATAGCTGCTTGTGTTATCATCACATTTTTTGTGACACACCAGTGATTCAGATCAGCCCACATTTCTTTTCCTTCTCTGTTGAGACATTTCTGTCTCATCAATTGTTAAATGGTTGGAGCTTCCTGCTCTGCAAACAATTATCCCTCTATTCAGAGCTGCTTAACTCTGGTTTTTGTCTATAGTATTTACTGAAGGATAGCCTCAAGAGAATACCATAGTAGCATTATAATAGAAATGTCAGGCTTGAGGTTGATGACTGCAGCATTGCAAAGACAATGCAGAGTGATTTTTTGACCGTTAAGACTGTTTAGAAAGCTCTGCTGTGTTTAAAGTTTTTTTCCATTTTGTTTTTTGATAAAATGTTTGTTGAATACACTCACAGCTACTTTATTAGGTACACATTAGTAGTGTCATCCATTAATTGTTTCAACAAGGTGATGGAAAAATTCCTCACAGATTTTTATGCATTGACATGATAGCTTCACATAACTGCTGCAGATTTGTAGGCTGCAAATCAGTGATGCAAATTAGTTCCACCACATCGCAAGGGTGCTTTATTGGATTGAGATCTGGTGACTGTAGAGGCCATTTGAATGCAGTGACATGCTGTTATTCCTTGTTACACACACTATTCTGCTGGAAGCAGCCATAGGAGGATAGGTAGACTGTGGTCATAAAGGGATGGACAGTGTTAGTAATTATACTCAGGTAGGTTGTGAGGTTTAAACTATGCTCCCAATTCTGGAATATTCCAAATAAACCTTCTGGCACCAGTGACCATGCTGTTCTGACCTTTTTTCTCCCATACTCTGATGCTTGTTATAAGCTTGTAAATGCCTAAATGTATTGAGCTGCTGTCACATAATTGGCTGAATGGATATTTTCATTAACAAGCAGTTGAATATGTATACCTAATAAAGTGGCCAGCGAGTGTGTGTACAAGAGCTACATTGCCTAAGAATTGACTTGAGCAATGTAAGGAAAAAAACTACATCTCATTTGCATCAGTGTCCTTTATAAATTGGTTTAGCCATCCGATGTGGCCCTGAACTGTGAGCTTTGTTGTGTAATATTCAGTACTCTTGCAACACCTCACAAGAGAATCTCCCTGCAGGGATTGTGTCATTAATTTTGATAATGGATAAATGGAGTCAGAGATAATTCCTGCCTTCATTGTTTTATTGCTTTGTAATAAAATAGACACTTGGGAACTAATGTTTGCCATTTATTTTGAACTTAGTGAAAAATGTCGTGTCCCTGCGTGGTGCGATCGTATCCTGTGGAAAGGAAAAAACATAAAGCAACAGCATTACCAGAGTCACATGACTCTGAAGACCAGTGACCACAAACCTGTCAGCTCCCTGCTCATCATTGAGGTAAATGATTTAGCTGAAGAGCTTTTTTTTTTTTATTTATTTATTCTGTGGCTTTTTTTAAGTACACATTATTTCTTTGCTTTTACTTAATCCTGTTTTTCTTCATCCTGCAGATCAAGAGGATAAATAGTGAGGATTATAAGAAGACCTTTGAAGAAATTGTTCGTGATATTGACAAAATGGAGAATGAATGCATTCCATCTGTAACCTTGTCCAAGCGAGAGGTAAAGCTTCACCTTACGATTCTCCCTGGCATTAAATTAAAATACATAATAATAAAAAAAAATAATGAAAGAGTGCATTATGCAGACATTCAAAGGATACAATAGCTTCACATGATCTGAAGGAAAAAACTTTTTTTTTTTTAATCTTTGCTCATAAATCTGCTTACCCCCCCTTTTTTTTCTGTTTTTTTTTCTCAGTTCCACTTCAAGGACGTGAAGTTCATGCAGCACCAGGCAGAGACGTTGAGCCTCTTGAATGACGGGCAGGTCCCATGTCAGTTTGAGTTTATTCCAAAGCCGAATGAGTTCACATACAGCAAGCCCTGGCTCACAGCCAACCCCCCCAAAGGCTTTATTGCTCAGGGTGAGTAACACGTCATCGTTGTGTAAAAACCAACAAATTTAATTTTAATAAAACATTAATCCATTAGCCTGGTCATATAGAAAGAGACTGACTTGGATTTAAGTGGAAGACTCCTTTGAACTGACAGATTATGCTTATTATAGTGTCTTTGAAATCCTCAAAGAGTACTACGTCATAATTGCTTGTTATGACCACAGTATAACATAACAACTGACTGGAGCAGCCTTCTCTTTAATTTGCGCTTCTCTCTAAATATCTAGGTGGTTCTGTGGATATTGACCTTGAGGTTTTCGTAAATCGCACAACAGCACCTGAGCTTAACTCTGGCAAGCAGGAGATTGAAGACATCCTGGTGCTCCATCTAGAGCGGGGCAAGGACTATTTTATCTCTGTGACAGGAAACTACCTGCCAAGCTGTTATGGCACTTCTATCCATGCACTATGTCAGCTGAGGGAGCCCATTCAAGACATTCCACAAGAGACCCTCCTTCAACTGGTTAGTGCTCACTTGAAATACCTCTATTGTATTCATTGTTGCCTCAGGGGCTTCATTATAGTAGTTTTGAGGATTGGAGACTAATTAAGCTGTAACTAAACTGCCTTTCATTCTGTTTTTTCCTTCCCAATATCAGGCAGAGTTGCCTATAAAGGAGAACGCAGCAAACACTGAAAAGCCTCTTGACATTCCTAAAGAACTTTGGATGATGGTGGATCACTTATTCCGCAATGCAGTCAAACAGGTCAGAAAATTGATGGTGATGTAACAGTGTTGTAATAAAATCAAACAATACTATGCTCCTACTTTGTTTTATAGTGTCCACTTCATGTGAATTGCACTACACTTGGCTTCCTGCCAGCTTTTTGTGATTAAGGATAAATAGACTGAATGAAGATCCTTGCAATGAATTTATTCTGCTGCATTAGCCACTGCGCTTCAAATAATTTCTTTAGCTGAAGGGAATCTGTGGTGTATAATGAGAGAACGAGTCTGAATGTATTGTCCTCTATTTGCAGGAAGACATATTTCAGCAACCTGGACTCCGGATTGAATTTGCTGAAATAAGGGATTGCCTTGACACGGGGATGCCAGAGTCCCTCCGTATCCTTTCAAAACTATAATAAAATTAGCAGAAAAATATTGTTTGTCCTTGTAGAATATTTGAAGAAGTCACAGGGCACAGTCAGTACATATGTTTTATTTTATCTTAAGAGCATTAAATCTATATTGGATGGGTTTTAGCAGCCCTGTAATAATCAACATTCAGGATTTAAATGCAAATAAATTGGCTCTGAAAGTTGGGACCTTAGATGACCATAGCTTATTACAGAAAGTAATAAGCTTGATTTTTCGAATACTCTGTATTGCTGTTTAATCCATGTAATTGCAAACGTGTTGTTTTGAATGTTACTTAGAATGTAATACTGTTTGTTTTGGGAGGGGGGGGGTTAAGTATAATTTATGTTGTACTTTTATGTGATATGTAATTTTTTTTTTTCTTAAAATTTGCTACCTTGACCCTGCTACTCTTGACCTGCAGCGGGTAGTAATCACTCAGTAGCAGAGGCCTTGCTTCTGTTCCTAGATGCCCTCCCAGAGCCTGTGGTTCCCTACTCATTTTACCAACGCTGCCTTGAATGCTGCACCAGTGCCAACCAGTGTGAGCAAGTAAGGAAAAAAAAAGAACAGAGTTAGTCACCCATTTCTACTAATCCTACATTAAATTGTAAAAGTTAAAAGTATTGTATTTTTTGTCTAGGTTATTTCCATGCTACCTCAGTGCCATAAAAACGTGTTCAACTATTTAGCTGCCTTTCTCCGTGAGCTTTTGAAGAATTCAGCTATCAATCGATTAGATGTCAGCATCCTGGGTAAGAACATGAAGCAAGCAGTTCCTTTGATTTATAAATGTGTTATTACTACTTTGTGCTTTAGGCAACATTTTACTTTGTGACTTTTTTATTGCTCAGTGTAAAGCTGGGGACTTGTGTAAAGATGTCCTTTGTGCTAATCTGTTCCACCAAATAAAGGTTGATTGTGAACTAAAGTATAGCAGGAAAATGAACTTCAGTTAAAAGAAATGTATCTATTTAAAACATTTTGTGTCATTTGCTGTCAAAATTATTACAGACACTATGTTTTTATGAATGATTTTTCTATACTGTGTAATATGAACAATATATTTTCTTTATGTGTAGCCACCATTTTTGCCTCCTTGCTTCTGAAGTCACCTGCAAAGCAGGATCTTGCTGAGAAGAGGAAGACTCAGGAGTTCTTTCAGCACTTCCTGACCCAAAGCTCCTCCTAGATGGAGGGCTTGTCCCCCTTGCTGAAGCTGAACACTAAAAACTGTAAACGTCCAGTATTTGAAATAACTGTAATGATTTGATATCCTCTTTGTATAACTATGTAGAGTTATTACTGTCAGTGATGTTTCTTATTTCTAATCACTTTATTTCAAAACCAAGTTTGTGATCAGTTGATGCAGAATTTATTGTATATCATTGAGCATATGTAGAAGCCTAACAAATTTTAATGTATGTATATTTTATTTAAAAAGAAAAATTTGTATTTTCATGTCTCTGATCTAAAAAGTGTATTGTTTTTATATATAAAATGTCTGCAAACACGTTGTGTGTTGGTAGTAATTTTTTTCTAATGAAAATTGTATTTGCTAAAATAAATCAACACTAAATATAAAAGCGAAACCCCTTCCCTACAATCATCTTATGGAATTTTTTAACATTGTTATTTAGCGTTAGTTATACATTATTTCCCATAATTCATCACGAATGGCTGCGAGCCTGTGACGTATGGCTTTCTAGGGAGGGGATAGGAAGAAAGTGGTCAACATCCAAAGCATCGGAATAAGGATTAAAATTCAGAGGTAAATTTATTTTAATGTCATTTCCTTCTAGTCGATCCACTTAAACCTCAGTTTGCCACTTTATCACCGGGTAAAATGAAACTGACCATCTTTGCAGGAACGATAAGTAATCTCCACAATAAACGTTTATCGTTAGCCCCTTAGCTTAGCGATGAGCTAAAGTGTTGCTATCCAGCGAAGCTATGAATGTGTAGAGAAATAAGTGGCAGCTGACTTACCTAGCCTAGCCTCTGGCTAACTAGTTCCCATTTAGCTTTCTGTGGCTTGCGAGCTGAAGAGAAAAACACTCTAAAGATATGTAACGGCAGATGCAAAATAAGCAGCCTAAGATTAATTTACAGCAGCTAACCAGCGACGTATCAGGCTGGAGACGATGTAATCATGATATGAGATCAGATATCCACCAGAATGCTAGCATCGTAAAGCTAACAACCTCAGTACTGTGACATTAAGTTGTGAGAACGATATTGTTCAGTCAGCTAAAGGTTAACCTTGCAGCCACTGAGTGCCTATAAGGTCACGCTTATGTTTGGAAACTGCGCGGCATTGTGTGCGCAGCCATGTAAAAGTTAACTGTCACCGTCGGTTTGAAGTGACAGCTTTCATACGCAGCATTTAACGTTTTCCTTTAGAGGTAACCTGATGAATTTTGATTGATTAGAAGTCACCGAGTAGCTAGGGCTAAGCACCAGCTATCTCATGACATCTGTCACTGGAGTAAGAAAGTTCCAGATCGCGATGTGTAGCTTTAGTTTCTGTGAACAGTGTTTATGTCTCTTACTAAGTAACTACTTGCGGTGATTTCAGTCTGACGTGTTGAAGAAAAAAATTCGCTGATTTTGACTGACACCTGCAGGTCCGCTACATTAGGGGGTGAACATGTTTAAAACGGGCATTTAATGTAGTAAAAAAAAACCTTATTCTGCCAAAAGCACACATAGCTGTGGCTCTGTCTAGTTATTTGTTGCCAAATGTTCCTGTCTGTCAGCGTGGGGCTACATAGTGACAGCTGATATAGTTTAACTGGGCAGCCCTAGTCAGATCTGCTGCTGAATCACTAAACGCTGATAAATATATTCAGTCTTTATATAGGGCTCAGCTATGAGAAACTATGAGTTTCTGCTCAACAGTGTTTGCTTTTTTCCAATTACAATTTGTAATAATTCAGCTGAGCTATACAACCTAAGAGCGTAAGTGAAGTAGCTTCTTTCTTTTTCAGGGTGAAACATTAACGTGTGAGAGTGCAGTCCTTCTTGCCAAGGAAGGAGAGGCATCAGAGACCATGAGTGAGAATGGCCCTCATACGGAGGCGCCTATGTACTTTGAGGTGGAGGTGGATCAGCTGGAGCGAGATGACGAAGAAGATGACAAGATCCACTTTGGCAAAGACGGTGACCTAATTGCTGAACCTTCGTCATCCTCTGGTCGGGTCTATGACCGCACCACGGTCCTCATTGAGCGGGACCCAATACGACTGGATGAGGAGGGAGAAGAGGAGGGTCACTGTGGAGGGGATGAAGATGGAGTCACCTTCCTAACAGAGGGAGAAGGTGATGGAGATGAGGAGGAGGGATCGCTGGCCTTTATGACAGACCCAGATGGGATGTCGCAGGGTTATGTGCACCACACAATTTCTCCTGACCAGATCCAGTTCACAATAAATCCAGGGTCCACCCCAATGCCACGCAACATCGAGGGGGCTACGCTCACCTTGCACTCTGAGTGCCCAGAGACCAAGCAGAGAGAGGTGAGCAAAAATAAGTGCATCTTGTCCAGCTGTTACAAGACATATGCTTGTTTGGTCATCAGAGGCTCCTCTGATTGGCTCTAAGGTAGTGCACATGTATGACAGATTGCAGTGATTGCTTGTCTAAGCTGTTTCAGTTATTACAACAAATTGCAGAAGAGCAGATGGTTTAAAGATTTTATGATTTTATCCTCTAATAATATAGTGATCATTTTTTTTAAATCTAGTTTGTCCTGGTGAAAAATGGTGTGCAGTTGAAAATATGTCACTGTGCTTCAAGTTCTTTTAAAGGATCTTCTCAGCAACTATGCAGAAGTTGCCATTCTGTTGCCTTCAGCAGTAACCTATCTTAATTAGCAGAGATGAGCAGCATAGTAAAACCATCTGATAGGAAGTTTGCACTTGTTAACCAGTAGGTACCTAACATAAAAGGTAGGGAGGCACATTGGGGAAAAACATGGTTCTCTTTCCTGTGTTTAATCAGTTGATTTAGATGATATATAGCCTACAGAGCCATCTTTACCACTATTATGATCCTTTCTTTTAACAGATTCTTGTCTGATACAGGATTGTAGCTCACAACAGCTGTATATTTTTAATTGATGAAAGGTCTGGACTCCGGGCAGGTCAGTTCACCACTAGGACTCTTCCACTTCAAAGCCATGCAACAGATGCAGTAGCATTGTCTTACTGAAATATTTAAGGACTTTCACAAAAAAGACATCATCTGGGTAAAGCATATGTTGCTCTAAAGCCTGTATAGACCTTTCAGCATTGTCTTTGCAGATGTGCAAGCTGTTAATTTCATAGGCTCTAATGTATGACCCACACAATCAGAGATGCAGGCTTTTGAACCGAGTGCTGATAACAAGCACGTTGGTCCCTTTCCTCTTTAGAGGTTGCAGGAAAAATGAGGATGCAACACGACCTGAACAGTTAACTGTGTTCACAGACACAGATTTCTAAAAGTGTTCCTGAGCCCATCCAATGATTTTTGGCCTTATCCCTTGCACACAGAGATTTCTGCAGATTCTCAGAATCTTTTGAGGAACAATATTCTGAAATTGTTCCACAAGTTGTAAATGTAGATTCTTTTGTAAATTGGTGAGCCCCTTCCGTAAAAGAGAGGCAGCTTACTTCTAACACTGCCTCTCTACGATCCTCTTCTTATATCCAATCATGGTATTGGCCTTTTTTTTAACAGTTCATCTGATTCACTGCAAAGTGTTGAAAGCGGTTTTGTTTCCCCATCCTAATGTTTTTATGAAATGGTAAAATGTCTGCTTAAACATTTAGTAAGTTTATTGTGTTCAATAGAAGTTACACAAAAGTTTTTGTTCATTTTACACAGCACCAAGACTTTATTGGGTTTAAAAGTTTTATAGAACAATAGAATTACACTTAAAATTGACTGCAAACTTTTCAGAGTAAAGCATTATGACTATATTGTCTTGATCATGGTATTTTCATATTTTAAAATCATATTATGTATTGAAGATTAATATACTAGTAAATTTAGATTTTGTTATCATTAGATGGGTGTGGTGCTGGAGCAAATGCCTTATTATTTCTGAATATTATTGGCAGAAACTTTGCTGCTTTTGTAGCCAGTTTTGGTTTGAAAGGTGAAGTTAAGTCAAGGTTTGATTTTATTTGTTAGCAGTGTCCGCTCAGTTTTTAACCCCTTTACCAACTGCAATAATAACAAATATCTAAAGAAAAAGATTTTGAGCAACCCTCTGAATTAAAAGACAACTATATATTTCTTGCAGCAGTATAGAAGCATACCGGGATCTTTTATTGTGTGTGTCTGTATATGTATGACTTCAAGCCACTTCTGAGAAATGAATTTAAATTTATATTGCACAACAGTACAATATAAAGTGGTGCCACACTCTTCTGCAGGCCTGGAATCATAAATAGTCATGTGCATGCAGGTCTTTGTAATATGTTAAACAAAGCAAATATGAAATATGAATCCCCGCGGAACGCGTGCACTGGGGTGTGGATGGTTTGTCCAATATTTGTTGGCCACGCTAAGCACTCCTCTTTCATAAACCAATTTGTAATGGAGTGGTCTCTTCCACTATGCGTGTGGGAAGCTGGAGCATAAAGTGCTCCCTCGCAATGATCATATTCACAGTGTGGTAGAATCACAATGGTGTGGGAGATAAATGCAGATCTGAGCTGCCAGCTTTAGCAGGGTTCTGCTGTGGGTTTGCGTAGATATTTGCTTAACAAATGATCCCTGCCACACACTAATAACCAGACTGAATGGTTTCAGACTACCATCGCTCAGATTAGCGCTTGTCAGAAGGACCGAAAGCTAAGTCAGCTGTGTGTAACTTTCACTGTATCACAGTTGTGATACTGGGTGTCGTGGAGTTCTGCAAACACTGCAAGGTTCATGCTGAGTTTTCTCTGATGCATCTAATATTCTCACTTGCCTTGCTTTGATTTAAATTGGGCTACAATTCATTTTTACAAGAATACTAAGAGGATTTAATTTAGTAAATGAGGTAATAGCAGCAGAGGAAGGAGAGTCTCTTGTTGAGGAGGCCAGCCACAAGTTTTCTCCTCCTGGTTTTGTGTTCAATACACTATAGAATAGAGACTGGGCTGCTTTTATTCACAGTGCCCCCAGGATATTTGTGTGAGAGCAGAGCAGGAGACTGCCCCACTGCAATGGACATCGGTGCTGTGAAAGAGAATTGAGGGTTAGTCATCACTGATGTCCTTAATGCTCACCCGCTTTGTGTACTGATGGGAGGTTGAGTCATTAAGTTCAAATCCTATCCAAAAGGCCACCCTGAGTCAGACTGTCACCTCTTTCAATGGCAGGGCAGGTTATTATTATTTCTGAGCTGGATTTACTAATTTCTCCCTGTCTTGTTGAAATGGTGTTGTTAAATAAAGTTAAAACGCAGATTAACAGATTTTTTTAAAGAGATTTGATGCAATCCTTTTCTTAGCACCAGCATTATTTCACTATGTTTT